AGAGAGAGAGAGAGAGAGAGAGAGAGAGAGAGAGAGAGAGAGAGAGAGGAGAGGGCGGTGCAAAAATGGCGCCCCCCCCCGCCCTGGCTAAATCCTTTCTCTCTCCCCTATCCTTTCCCTTGACGTCCCCCCGTTCGCAACTGCATCAAGACTTGTAGCATCGCCCTGAAACTCGTGCCAACACACATACACGCCTTGTATCCTTTCAATTCCATGTCTACCCGACAATCTTTGTACTCTACACACGGTCGCCCAAAAAAATTCCCTCCCCCCCCCCTTCGCTTAGCTGCCAGCATACCCACGGGCCCCCCCTTTCGTCTTTCGACCACGGACACTGGGACACGACGGCCAAATGTCGCCCCCCCTCCTACGTCGTTAGGGGTGCCTCGACACACACACATCCCGCTTTGCACAATCAACTTTGTTCCCCTCCATTCCATTCATCCCATTCCCACATGGCTCCGAAACACAACCCCACTTCTGGCAAGTATCGTGAATAGAAAGAGAAAAAAAAGGGGGGGAGGGTTAAACAAGGTGATGTTAATACGCGCTATGTAAGAAGAACAAGAAGAAGAAGAAGAAGAAGAGAAGAAAGAGAGAAAAAAAAGCTCAAAACACAATATGCTATGCATGCCCTTCCGCTTCCCCCCCAAAGAAAAAACCCCCATCCATCCATGTCTTCGCAGGACCAAACCAAACCAAACCAGACCAAACCAAACTGATCCCGGATTATGTACATTTTACATGTAGCCCTAGCAAAAATTATCTCTCTGCTTCTTGGCCTCTGACCAAACAAACAGAGGCGAATAGAAGTTTCGGCTTGGTGCTATCTGATCGGCCCCATCAACAAACACTCTAGAAACCAAACGGATTTTGAGGCGCTGGAAATCGAGTTAGCAACAAAAGCACATGAATACACAACACACGGCCACTTACTAGCATTGGCAAGGTTCGCCCGCCCCGTCGGCTGCGGCGTCAGCTTCTTCGCCGGCTGCACGCCAAACTTGATGCTTGGCGGTGGGCCAGTCTTCTGCGGCACAAGGGGCTGTGCTTGCGGCATCGGCGGCATCGGAGGCACTGGTGGCGCGCTCTGCCCGAAGCCTGTTGGCTGCGGCACAATCGCCGGCGGCAGGAAACGGTTGATGCCAGTCGCTTGTGGGTTAAGCGGCGCCGCCTGGAACGAGTTGTATCCAGTGGGCTGGGCCTGCAGTGGCTGGAAGGGCGCTCGTGGGGGATCCGCAAATGGGCTGCCGTTGCCAAACCCTTGGGTAAAGTGCGGTGCCTGCTGGAACCCCGTCTGCATAGGCTGCTGGAACCCCGTAGGCTGAGCCTGTTGGAACGGTGCGAACCCAGTCTGCATCGGCTGCTGCTGCGGTGCCGGTGACAGAGAGTTGTACCCCGTCGGCTGCGGCATCAATCCGTTTTGCTGGAAACCATAGCCGCCGTTCTGCTGCGGGAATCCCGTCATTTGCGGTTGCATGCCTGCCATTCCCTGTCCCGGCCCAGCGTTTGGCGCCATCATGTTGGGATTGTACCCAGTGAGCTGAGGCTGCAGCGGCGGTGGGGGTCCAAATGCACTCTGTTGCGGGTTCTGCGGAGCGGACGCGGCCCGTTGCGGCGGTGGAGCAATCAGCCCGCCAGCAGTCGGTTGCTGGGGCGCTTGTGGGCGCATGCGTGGCGGGGCCATGTTCTGAGGTTGAGTCAAGGCCTTGATAGCGGCAACTTGCTCGAACAGCGTTGGAGTAGCCCCTGTCTGCTGTGGCTGTTGCCCAGGAGCCGGAGCCTGCTGAGGAGGCGCCTGCACGACAGGTGTAGCGGGGACAGGAGCTGCTGCAGGCGGTGGCTGGGCAATCTCGTCTGGTTTGAGTGCAGGCATATCCAAAAGTGACAGCTCGCCCATGGATCCAGTCAGTGGGACTGGCTTTGCAGCAGGTGCTGCTGCTTGTGCTGGAGGCGGAGATGCAGACTTTTCCGGGCCAGCAGTAGATGCTGAGCGTGACGGCTTGACGTCCCATGCATTGTCGTCGAATCCATTCGCCTTTGCCTCGGGCGCAGGCACAGACGCCAGCGGCGTTGGGGTACCATCTGCAGGCTTCTTGCCCGCATCGTCCGACTTTGGCTCAAATGCCTTTGGATCCACCACGTCGTTGGTCTCTACAGGAGGCGCAGGACGGCCCTTGCGAGTGTTGTTGCGAAGCGCACCACCGGGTCCAGAGAACAGCCCGCCAGACGCTCCCTCTCCACCCTCTTCTGTAGCCTTCACACTTCGCTTGTCGCGTCCGTAGTTGGTATCAATGTACTTGGACACGCGAAGGATATCGCCCTCCTTAAGACCCAACGTACGGAGAACGCTTGCTGTAATGTCTGGGATGTTTTCCTCGGTCATTTCATCCTTGACAAAGGCCCGTGCGTACCGCTCGCATATTTGAGGGTTGACACCACACTTGAGGAAGAAGTCGAACCAGTCGTACTCGGGCTTCTTCTCCAGCGATATACCCGTCGGAGACCGCGAGTCTTTCGAGCGCTGCTGCATCGTCTTCCTCTTCAAGTCGGACAAAGGCTTGTCGTCGTCCAGCGATTCGCCCGTAACGCGCTCAACGTATTCAAGGTCTTCCACCGACATCTTTGTGACGGGCACGGCAATCTTGACACCATTGACCTTGTGCAAGTGGATCTTGCCGTCCTTGATAAGGATGAACTCTGCCTCGACCTTGAACGAGCCGGACCGGTCGGTCCAAGTGCGCACTTTGGCGGCGTCTAGCACACTCCTGTCAGCATTTGGCGTACAACCACAAGGAATGAATTAAAATCATGCTCCACGCGAAACTCGCCCATGGACAGCATGCTATACTCACTTGGCTTGGACGACGACTTTGAGCTCGAGTCCTTGGAAGAGGTTTCGCGCTTGCTCGATCTCTGTGAAGTGCGACGATGGTCAATATTTGTTTGCATAAGACTAGAGTTACGCGAAGGTAAATGCAGGCCAGGGCCTACCTGATCGTTCCTCGCTTCACTTTCGGGCCTCTTCTGTCTCGAGGCCTGGCGAGCAAGCTCCTGTTCCTCCCGCCTGTTTTGCTCGACGATAGATCGACCGGCGTTGGTTCCTGAACGGGCCTGCGAGGCTGCAGAGTTTGGAATGGGAACGGTGTTTGTAATCTCGACGTAGTTAGCTGGCACGACACCCTCCTTGCCGTTCTTCAGCCGCCTGACTTTCCACCACTCATCGCTGGCTGAATCATCGAGCACCAGAATCTCATCGCCGAGACCAACCGTCACCTCGTCGTCGCCCTGCGCCATAAAGTCGAACAGCATCACGCCCTTCTTCTGCACATTCGAGTGTCCGGAACCGGCGGCGAGCACTTCGCGCAGTCCGGCGCCCTTGGCTGCTCCTGCAAGCTCACCAAGTGCCATCATGATTTCAGACGCAGTGTCTTTGGCTCCGCAGTGAAAGTCGACGCTCTTGCTTGGCTGCAACGACTATGGCTTTGCACCAGCCAACTACATTGAGCTCATCAAGGGTGGAGCGAGCGCGGCGGCGCCGGCTGCAGCATCACCGGCGGCGCCGAGTCGCCCGCCAATGCCAGCAGCCCGCGACTCCTTTGATGACTCCCAGCCGCCCACTCCAGAAAGCCCCCCGCGATCGAACCCTGCCGCTGCCCTGGCCGACATTATTCAAAAGAAGTCGCAGGAAACAGCGCCGCGGTCGACCATTTCCCCGCCACCCAATGTCAGCGCGCCCCAACGACGACGCGTGCAGTTCACACCCGAAGAATCCGACGACGAAGCACCGCCACCACCACGTCTTCCCCAGCAGCCACTATCAGACGTGCCCTCCCCTCCGCCCACCCAGACTAGACATGCACGCTCCCCGTCGCCTCCGGTCAGGTCGCCTCCTACTCGAAGCGTTACATTTGACCAGTATGACCCTCCAAACCGAGAAGAGAATCCCACTTCTCCAAGATCGGGCTCGGGCTACCATCTCTACAACATTTACGAGTACATCACGCAGCCTGGCAAGAACAAGAAGATGCCCATTACACTAGGCGTCAACATTCCAAAGGGCATGGTTATGATTGCACCGGAAAAATCACGCGACGGGCCGCAGCAAGAATGGACGGCTGACAAGATGGAGTACTACTCGCAGGAGGGCAAGCACATCTTCATGGAGCTCAAGCTGCCGCCTCCTACCAGCGTCCAGTCTGGGTCCGTCGTATCGTAGACATCGAGGATAGCCTCTTCCTTGAACGAAAGCTCCTCGTCTGTCTGGCGGTCGTAGTCGAAGAGGGCTTTTGCTTGTGCCACGGGAGCGGCCTGTTTTACACGGTCAGTTCTGCGGCTGTGGTTGTGCCTGTCCAAGGTAGGGGGGGGTGTGCCTGTTGGGCGTTGTTCTCGAGGCCAAGCCAGCCCGGGGCGTCGTTTGGGTATCAAATGCGCAGCTCACCTCTTCAATGTAATTGTTGGGAATCAAGCCCTCGGGCTCGTCTTCGTCTTCAGCGCGACCCTTCTTCTTGGCCTTCCACCAGTCGTCTTCGGTCGACTTCTCCAGCACCATCAAGATGTCGCCCTCGGTCAGGGCAATCTCATTGCTGCTTTGGGGCTCATAGTCGTAGAGGGCGCGGTAAATGCCGAGGAAAACCATTGTGCAGGCAAGAGGCGCGACGCGGCCTCTGGAATTCGTGCAGCTCGTCGGAACGTAGGCTCAGAGGCGTGGGCAGTCGTGGGCGATGCGCATAGGCTCGGCCGGCGGAGGGCTACGGGGGGGTTTTGCTGTCGCGGTTCGAGGGGCCAGCTGGAACAGGGGCAAGCTGGTTGACGCTGCCAAGTCAGCGACCGGCAGCGCAGGGACCGGATAAATGTCGTGAGGTTGGAGAGAAAGGCAGGATGATGTCGGAGACGACCAGCCGGCACTGCGGGGGATGCTCGTGCTATGGCAGCCGGGAGGAAATGGAACTGATGGTTGGGAGTTGGGTCGTCGATGCCTGCCTGTGAGCCGCGCAGCACGAGCCAGCATGGAATCCGCCTTGCCCAGTCAGGTCCCCACACCGACGTCAACCTGCCTTCGTCCCATGTCCGCGCGATTGGTACACCAAGACTCTGGGCGATGCTCCTCTCCGCACAAGGCTCTCTGTTCGGCCCTATGTACGCAAAGGCTGTCTGTATGTGGTTTCTGCACAGCCATTCTGGCGCGGCGCATCTTCACGCCAGGCCAAATGCGTAGAGCTGGACACACGAAAAGGAACACTGGGGCTGCAGACACGCAATGCAGTTAGTCTAGTCTATGTATATTGATACTGTCCGATGACGTCGAGCAGTTCCTCGCTTGCATATCACACATGGATTATTTTTTGTTCTTCCTCTTCAATACGTAAACCGGAAACCCTCTGTGCCCTCCAAGATGCGCTTGCCCTTGCTCTGGCTTCGGTTCGCCCAGTAGAAGTGCAGTGAGAAGACGCCAATCAAGCCAATAATCATAATGTGGCTCCCGATACTAACCCAGATGGCGGTCATGTATCTCGGACTCTCGGGCTGTCGGACAATGAAGCTCCCGGCAATGCCTCCTGCGCCATTGAAGGCTGTAACCATGGCAGCCGTGAACACCCTCTTCCATTGTCCCACAACATTGTTCGCCTGGTACGTTGCCATGGCAGCCCAGTTAGCCACATACGCACCAGTAGCGAGATACGTCCCAATGTATCTCACTGTGACCTGGTTCGAAAACCCAAGCATGCAGAATCCCACAATCAGAGACAGACAGTTGAACACGATGATTGGCCCTCGCAACTGCAGCTTGTCGCCCACCAATGAAGACAGAATGGCAGGAATAACAGCGTAGTAGTATGGCGGCGCCGAGAGGAGGATGGATTTGTTGGAGCTGAAGCCCATACCGCCCTGGAGGATGATTGGGAGAAAATAGGACAGCGAGGTCGAGACGAGGTTTTGCAGAAAGTACAGTGTGCAAAAACCATAGACCTTTGCATCTGTGGCATGTACGAAGACCTTGCTCCATTTGAACGGGTCTGGCTGCACATCGCCGCGATCTCTCTCGATTCGAGACGATGCTACGGAGCTTTCATGTGGCGTGAGGAAGTAAAAGGACTTGTGTGCATGCTCTGGAAAATCCACCATCCACCAGTACGTCAGGATGCCGATGAAGGCAGTGATGCTGCCCTGCACAACGAACATCCACTGCCATCCTTTCAGATATCTGCCGTCCAGCTGGTTGAGGCCAAAGTTGACGATGCCGCCTGTTGCTAGCACAATGACCTCTCCGCTCTGCATCAGCGCAAAGCGAAGCTGCTGCTCTTTCCGCGTGTACCATGTGGAAATGAGATAGGTCAGGCCTGGGTAGATGCCCGACATGGAAATACCAAGGAGAATGCGAAGTGCAATCATCTGCCGCCAAGTCTGTACAAAGGCCGTGCAGAGCGTGATGATGCCGAAGCAGAAGGTGATGAAGGCGAACCAGATTCTCGGGCCGAATGTCCTGACGGCAATAGTCGATGGCAGCTGGAACGCAATGCTCGCAATGGTAAAGATAAAGATGGAGACGGAGTATCTGTTGCCGACGTCGAGCTCCAGGTCGCTGAGCATGGATGTGACGGACGCACTGGAAATGACGCCGCTATCGAGTAGGTTGAGCGAGCATAGGATGCCTGCTATGCTGCAGAGGCGAAGGTCGACCTTGAAGCGGATGCCGTTGGACCATTCCTCCTCAATTGCATGTCTCTCAGCGCCAATGATGGCTTCCTGCTCTTCTTCATTGGGGACCTCTCGAATTGACTCGTTGGACGAGCAACGGCTGGGAAGATGCTTGGTCATCTTGTCCGCTGTCGTGAGGGAAGGGGTGCCGAGAAGAAGAGCGGTGAAAGACACATAATGTAGTTCGCCCGCCGAAGGCGCGAGAAGGAAGCTTATCGTGACACCCTTGGCATGGATGTACTTAGGCTCCGCACATCACAAATGCTCGCCTCTGCTTGGTCACCGACATGTGGTCCCCGCACATCAATTCCGCGCTGGAGCAATTTACTTAGTTAGCCATGACCAATCAACCCATAGCTAGCGCCACTCGCAAACCTAATACCCGAGCAACTTTGGTAATCATTACATTCTGGAAGTTTTGTTAATGGCCCGCATGGGTGTAGCCGCACAAAGACAGATGATGAGCACACCCCTACACATGTTCCAAACATCCGCCGGGACTTCGGTCGCCTCCCGACCCGCGCACATGGCCTTGGCAACCCGGTACATTATAGACAATCTCAACGTCAACAGGTGACACAATGGCATATTGACAGCTCGGTAGTACGCGCACTGCGGAGCACTCTGCCAAACATCACGTCACGTCACCAGCGACACAGTCATGAGGAAGAGCAACCGGCAATCAAGCAAAAGGTATTGATTTCCTTCCTTTGAAGGAAACCCCTTCTAGTACAACCACTGGCTCTCCTGGCCGGTGGTCTGGGTATCCTCGCCAAGCATATAGCGAGTGTGGGTATTGGGTCATGAAAAAAAAATGGAAAAGAAATGTACACAAGGTCCGGAGACAGGAGTAGAAAGCAATAACAGGGCCCCCAAGAACCAAACAAACTCATCAGAAGTCGAGTGCCGTATGTTCCGACCACCCACCATATGCGTAGCCGTCATCCCGTCCATTCTGTTGCTACGACAATTTGTGTGTGCATCTGTGTGTCCATGTGTGCGTGAAGGCGTCAGGAATCTGACAACAGGGGGTAAAATGCATACAAGACAAGCAAATATCCCAGAAGCACTCGCTTCGTAATTCGTAAAATAGAAAAGGGGGGGAGGAGTCTCGAAGATACCACCAAAGGTCGAAATTAAAAAATGTAGAGTCGAATCGTCCAAGGAAGAAGAGAAGATGGGAGTAAGGGCTGCTCAACCATCGTCTTCGGCATCATCCTCCTCCTCCTCCTCTTCTTCGTCCTCTTCGCTGGTGCTGTGGCGCTGCACTGCACCGGCCTTGTTCTTCTTGACGGTTGGGGTTCCCTTGAGCTGAGAAGCCGAGGCCTTGCGCTTGGGTGCAGCACCACCCGACTTGGAGTCCATCGAAGCGTTCTCCTTGTTAGCGTCTTCGCCTTCGCCTTTCTGGGCGTTGTCCATGGCGGCCACCTCCTCTGCGGTCAAGAAGCGCCCTCCGGGGCCACGAGGACGGCGCATGGCATGGTTGTGCCGGGACTCGTGCAGATATGGCTTGCGTCCCTTGGAGGTCAACCGTAGTGCATCCTCGAGTTTTTGCCTGGCCAGACGTCGTTTGAGGATACGATGGAATTGTTTTGCATTCACGTAGAGAGGGGCCTCCTCGGCTTGCGGGCCTCCAGACACAAGCTCGGGTGACTGCTGGTGCTGAGGCTGCTGCGCCATCTGTGGAGGCACCGAAGGGCGGGGGCCGCCGTGGCTCATGACGGGCTGTGGATGCTGCATGGCAGGGCTGCTAATCTGGGTGCTCATGCGTCTTTGCTGCATCTGCGTGGGCGTCATCTGAACCTGCGAAGGAAGCGCATTGTTCATTGTGTTGTTGACGTTTGTGGGCGACCGCGGGGCGACGCGCCCGTCGTTCTTCATCTGCGAGACGGACATGCGCGGAGAGGCGCGCGGGTCTTGTGCTAGTTGGCCTGGGATGGCGCTCTGATCGTAGTAGCCAGCGGGCCCCGCCGCAGCTGCCGTGGCCATGGCTGCAGCCTGTTGCTGCTGCTGCTGTTGCTGCTGCGATGCCAAGTAGGGATTTTGCATGCCGGCCATGTACTGCTGCTGGGGGAAGTTGATCTGCTGGTGGTGTTGCGCATGTTGTGGATGCTGCGCGCCGCCATGGCCATAGCCCTGCGACGGCAGTATGGGTGATGTTTGCTGGAATTGTTGCATTTGCTGCTGCGTCGGCGACGTTATAGAGGGATTACCACCTGCAGGGCTCTGACCGCTACCATAGCTTTGGATATGCGCCGGAGCGTGGTGGGATTGTTGAAATTGCGCGTATTCGGTCATGGCGCGCGTTGAGGGTACTAGATGCTGGGGGTGTGCTGAGAGTGAGGGAAGCAAAGGTTTGATTTGAGGAAGGAGCGACCGGCGGGGCTTTCTATTCGCGCGAAGGCTGCTGCATGGTACGCTAGCGCTCGGTAAATCGGTACTGCTGGAAAATCAAGCGTAAGCGGGCAGGGTGCACAGAAACCAGCCACGTGCCCCACCGGCTGGCGCGCTAGCTGCCTAATGCTTGGAACCTGTGTTTTAGATGCACTTGTATATTAACTCTTTATTTATAAGCTAGGGTTCTTAGTTTAGATAGCCTACTAGATTATATAGAGATATTTTATTTGGAGTTATTATATGGCTTTAAGAAGTTGATTAGGACTCTTTGAAAATAACAACCCGTTTTCTCTTGCCTTACTTTCTTTTCCTCTCTCCAATATCTCTACTACTAGATAACTTTCTACATACATTCTTATTCCTACAGTTTTTAGACATGTATTATAGTAGAAACAAGTAGCTATTAACTCTGAGTTAAAAAGGGAAATGGATAGTGAAACTAGAAAAAGCTACTACCTATTTAAAGCACCCCTATTAGCAAACTAGCCCAAAGCTGTGCGTGGCTGCGGGAGCAGGGTTTACCCAATCACAGTCAGCCACAAGCTGCATTTTGCGTGTCACTCAGCCTATGCCCTATGCGTGCAAGCCTACTGTCGCCGTGGGCGGGCTGCGTGCACAACACGTCGTCGCTGTCCGCGTTGCCTTGGGGGGTGCGGAGGCAGCATCATCTTTTGTCTCGTCTCGTTTCTCGCGCGCGTGTATGTATGTGTGTGCGCATGTGCGTGTGCGTGTGTGTGTGTGTGTGTGCGCACTGCTAGTGACCCGTCCGTCTTACGGCCCCCCAGTGCGGGCGGGCGAGCTGTGGCACCCGGGGGCCCTCCACCCGCTCAAAGGCCGGGTGGCCCCCAAAAGGGAGGGCTCGAGACAAGAGGGCAGGCAGAGCATGAGAGGGACGGGGACGGGGACGGAGACGGGGGACGGGGACGAGGTCGAGGCCGCGACATGACGTTGGCAGCAGAAGCAAAAGGCGGGCGGCGGCGGTGAGCTGGGGTCTGCGTCGCCTGCGTCTGCGCCTGTGCCTGCGCTCTGCCACTGCCACACTACGCTGCCTTTGCCCCCTCGCCCTCGCCCTCGCCCTCGCGGCTGCCCCGTCAGCGCGCCGGTGCCAGTGCCAGTGCCAGTGCCAGTGCCAGTGCCAGTGCCAGCGCAGGCACAAGCACAGGCACAGGCGCAGGCATGACGGTCGTGGTCGCCGCCAACCCGCTCTCCCCACGGCGCCTCTGCCATGTCCCCCATTGCCTGTCCGCGGCTCGCCCGTCGTGCCTCAGCTCGCTGCGCATTGGGCGCCTGCCTGCATTTTCCGCGCGCAGCCAAATCACAGTCCCACACGCAAAAAAAACCCGGCGGGTAGCCAACGGGTGCCGTCCCCTCGCCTGCCACCTGCCCTCGATTGGTCCGCGGCCCTGAAATTGCTCCGCCCCCGGACAGCTGAGGCCCGTCCCAAGCCGGCTAGCGCGCCGCCGCGCTTCCATGCAGCAACCCAACAGCATCATTCCCATGACAAATTGGCTCGTAACACCAAACTCTCTCGACGAGCCCGGCTGCTTCACTTCCGCAACCACAACCACGGTTTGTCGCTCGCGCCCGCACTCCTCGTCGCGCTCGTGCAAACGGCAGCCCATCCGCGGCGACGGCGGCGGCGGCGGCGGCGGCGGCAGCAGCCATGGCGGCGGTGGCAGGTGGTGTGCGCAGGCTCACACTCGTCACGCCGCCCCAGTGCGAGCCCAACGGGCTGCCTACGCGCTACCTCGCGCCTCTGATGTCGTCGACGCTCAGCTTGGGGCCTTGGCCGCGTCTCTCGCCTGCCATTGGCCAGGCCTGTGTCTCGTCCACGTCTCAGCACCGCCTTCGCTGCCACCTGGCTAGCGCTCGCCAGCCCGGCCCGCCCGCATCACGTGCTGTACTTACATAGCACCACGCATCCGCACTCGTGAATAGTGCCGCCCCTGTACCGTCTTGCACGCCGCATGTATACACAGCGTGTTATGTATCCCTCTGTACATGTGTATTATGTCTGCGCAGTGCTCCTCGCCCCCAGTCCCAAGCCCGGCACGTGCACCCCGCCCGCCCACCTTGGGCTAGCTGCACAAAAGAACGCGAATGCAGGCAGCGTGCAGGCCCGTCCAACCCCCCCCCATCCCCCCATCTCCCCAACCCCCCCATGCTTCGCCTCTGCTCGCGCTCTCCACTCACACTCACGCCACCCGACGCATCACCAGGGAACGTGCCCGCTTCACGTATCAGACTTGACGTCCATCGCACGCCCGCTGCCATCTCTCTGTTCGCCCTCAGGCCCCAAATTGCGTTTCAACCCGCACACGTCCACGTCGCTCCTCAGCCACTGACATTTCCTGTAGCATACTTTGGCTACGTTGCTCTAAGCTTCACTCTCGGACCCGCCGCTGCGGTTCTGCCGCCCCGTGAGGTCATCCTTTCTTTTGACACTTCGGTCCTTTCTCCAAAACACGTGCTTTCTCCGCCGGCTGAAGCCCAAGGTCATCTGGCGTGCAACCACCACACACGCACGCACACACACACACACACACACACACACACACACACACACACACACTGCAAGGGGGGGGCCAACCTGCGAGACACCTTGGCGACGCACAAGGCTCACCACCATCCGCAGCACACGCTCCATGAATGCGATACCACAATTCCATCCGCATCTGCACATCCTCTTCGCCAGTTCCACAGCCCGCGGTCACATGGCTCCATTCCCTGTTGCCACATTGGCGGCACTACACGGATCCAATCACCACAACGGTGCCGGCGCGCTTCGGCCACATGTCTGTCAGCCCTACACCACGCAGCGTGTCAATAGCTGCTGTTCAACGCTTTCATCTATTTCGGTTGCATTTTCCGCTCCCTTTGCATGGCCCCTCACCTACACCCGCCGCCCACGCGGCCGTTCAAGGTTACCATCGACGGCTGCATGAGCACGCGAGCAGATGCTGTATCCCCACGCGGTGCTGGGAAAAGCTGCCAACGTCGGCTTCTGTGTCACGGTCCTCGGTCCCCGCCGTGTTGCATTACTCTCGTCATCTGTGTGTCCCATGTGAAGGCGAGCGGATGGCATGGATTGCTGACGACGGTAGTCGTCCTGCTTCTAGAACTTGGGCTCGTGCCGCTAACCCCGATACCCGTCATCGTCGAGACGATTTCCTCTTCGGATCGGGTCTGTCGCCAGCCAGACTCGGTGGATGAAACCAGTCACCATGTTCAGTCGTACGATAAAAAGACATGGGTAATTTGCCTGTTGCACTTGCCCAGACACTCTTGTTTCGTCTTGAGTCCCCGCTTGTTTGTGGCTCTGGCAGAGGTTGATGTGCAATTAGAGTTTCTTCGTCGTCGATCCCCCAGGCGTTCGACCTCAATGCCTAATCATAATGTTCCACAATCTCCGGACAGCAGTCTTGGGCTGCCCCAGCGGCGAGAGCCTACCGTTCAGCTACCAAGCCTCGGTCCGTCGCGTCAGATCAGTAGGCGGCGCGTCCGACGTGCTTCCATTCTGACAGGCACAGGGAAACCTTTGCACACCCAGTCAGCGCGCGAACCTAGGTCTTACTTTTTTTTCTCGCATTGTCGCACACTAAGCACTTGCAATCCTGACAACAGGGTGACGACCGCTGCTTAACAGGACATCAGTGATCACATATTATATTACCAACACGGGTATAGTACCACACGTAGCACTCGCATTGTGTTATGCGCCCATGGATGGATCCGCCGGCGTGCCCGACGATATCATGGCAGGGTAACGTTTCATTTTTAATTGGCCGACACACCGGAAGATCGTCTCTCTCTAAACAGCAAATGCTCGGTAAGCATGTCACCTCCCGCGGAGAGTCTGTATACAAAACAAAAGGAACAAAAAAATGCGCGCATAATGCAGTCATATCAAAGGGCGTTGGGCAAACAAAAAAAAAGTACACGTCGTTTACTAATGTCTTATCGTCATTCAACAGCCACAATGCGCATATCCAAGCCTACATATGCACGATTCCAAGCACTATACATGAAAAGAGGGCTTGTGCAGACTGCATTGCAATCGCGCAATCTATTGAAAAACAGGACGAAAAAGAAGACGAGACGCATCAGATGCATCGGATGCCTTGTGAAGAAGCACTTCACTTCTTGCCACCGGACTTTTTCCATCCCGCACTCCTGCTCTTGCGTCCATTGGGGCCCTTCTTCTTGCCTCCGCTGCCTTTGAACTTGAGGCCGCTCTTGCCCTGCTTCTCACTCGCCCTGTGGCCCTCAAACACGAAGCTCTCCTTGGTTTGCGCCTTTGCGACTTTGCCTAGCATGGACCGCGCACGACCTTGCAGCGACTTCTGCTCTTCGGTCAACTTGGGTGCGTAGCCTGCCTTTCCGCTGGCTTTGTGCGATGACGGTGGAGGCCCGCGCGGCTTGTCCTTCTTCTTCTCGGCCTTGCAGCGTGTGATGCGAAGCTTACGGGGCAGCATTGGTGGGAAGTTCTTGTCGTTGAGTTGCAGCGCGGCCTCGACGCCGTTCTCGTCTACGAACTGCACGTAGGCGAAGCCCTTGCCCACCCTAGTCTTTGCGTCGCGGACTACGCGGACGCTCTCGATGGTACCGCACTGGGCAAGGTGGACCCAAAGACCCTCCTCGACGTCAGAGGCGGGCTTCTTCTTCTTCGGTTTCTCGCCTTCGGCAGTGGGTGTCTGGGATTCGTCATCGACAAAGGGCAGGTTGCCGACGAAGACGCAGCGGCGGTGGTCGACCTTGGCAGGGTGAGCGACCGAGTCGACGTGCAGATGGCGATTGAGCAGGACAGAGCCATTGAGTCTCTTGACAGCCTCTCTGGCGGCAACCTTTGTTGTGTAGACTGCGTAGGCATTTGTGCTCTTGGTAGTTGCGTCCATGATGTCCTTTTTTGCGAAAGCAGCGCGCTTGGGCAGCGAGCTGCCAAAGGCGGTAGAGCGGAATCGTATTGACTCAATCTTGTGCGGAGGCTTGTTGTCGGCAAGGTCGGGGATGAAGGACTCGAGGTGCTTCTTCAGGGCCTTTTCTGCCGACTTTGAGCTGATGCACTCGATGGATACGTTGGCTAGGAAGACGGTGCGAGCTGCCTTTTCCACCTCTGCTGCGCCCCCGTCGGGTGTGTCCATGAGTGACTCGTGCTTGGGCACTGTAAAGGGCTCGTCGGCGTCACTGTCTGCCTTGTCGTCTTCGTCCTCGTCCTCGTCTTCGTCATCCTCGGCAGCCTCCTTGGTCTTGCGCTTCTTCTGCCTTTGCTCCTCTTCCTTCTCTTCTTCCTGCGCCAGCTTTCGCATGTATGCGTCCTCAATCTCCTCCTTGTTCGCGCGTTTGCGCTTCTTCTGCTTGTCTTGCGTTGCATTCAGCGCCGACTCGCGCAGTTTTGCGAGGGCTGCTTCGTTCTCGGCCTCGTCATTGTCGCTGGCATCCGACATGTCGTCGTCATCGCCATCATCGTCAGAAGGCAAACTCTCAGACACCGAACTCAACTCTGCGTCGTTCGCATCGCCTTCGTCGCCATCGTCGCCGTCTTCTTCTTCACTAGACTCTTCTTCGGCTGTTTGTTTTTGTAGGCGTGCCTGGTACCGTGACTTGGGGGGCGCTTGCACGGGGCCCGCCTGCGGATTCAATCAGCAATCACAGCCCTTGGTAGGCATCTGCAGTGGGCAACGCACACTGGTCGCAAACAGCGATGCGAGGGTCGGGTCGAAGGCCGCCTTGTCGAGCTTGATGAAGGAATTGGCTGGCGGGGCGCTGTTCCGGGGCGCCTCGGGCCTGGATGCGCGCTTTTCCTTGGACTTGCCCATGGCGGCGTGGGCGACGTTGGCGGACAGCAAGCTCGTCAAAAAGTTTTGGTGGAGACGCTTCACCTGGACGGCGCGCTAGGCCCAGACGGCCGTGTCGGCGGCAGAAAGCCACCGCCCGCGCCCAGCGAGTGCGGTCATTCGCAAGAGACTCAGGGCCTCTCCCGGCCGGCGACCCGCTGCAGAGCGCAGTTTACACCCTCGCCCGACCGAGCTGCCCTCCACATTCACCACCGACACACCCATGCCAGTCGCTGTCTCGCCTTTGCCCTCGCATCCCCACTCTCGTCACGCGGCCGCTGCCCGGCCCTGCTCGCCAAAAACATCTCGGCACGCTCCCTCGCCCTCGGCGCCCACGCCCTGCACAGCGCCAGCAGTGTTTTTGTCCGCTCACCACCACCGGCGCCCTCTGCCCCCCCAGAGCGCCGCTGCTGCATCGCACGAGCCCGCCGTGTCCTGTCCAGCCGCCGCTGCCCCCGCTGGCCACGGCTTGACCAGGCTCCCCGGCGCGGGCGCACAATGAGCGCGCCCCAGCACACCAGACGAAGCACTTCGAGAACAGCTCCCGACCGCCGCGAAGCCGTCGCGCACGCTGCCAGTACGTCATGCTCCCTTTTCTCCACACGCCCATGGCCGGCGAGCCCCATGCTGTCGAGCCCGCGCGACCTGCTGTGTCCACGGCCGCTCGCTGGAGCGTCTGTCCATCTCTGCGTCGACCGGGGCCACATCCCAGTCGCGACCTCCCCTCACTCCCTATGCCGCTGAGCACCCCCCGTCCGAGCCTGCACTCGATCTAACACGTTTTCGCAGACGTCGTGTCAACACTCCCGACGGGACGCCCCAACCCCTCCTCTGCCACTTCCCCCTCCCGCGTGTCTGCTCCCGCGCAGATAGCGACAGCAACCGTCGAGGAACCCACCGCTATCGCTGCCGCGATGCTGTCTACAATGTCGGCCTCGAGTACGACTGTTGCAGAGGCAATGCCCGCCGACCAAGCTCCTAATGCCTTCGACGACGCCGCAGACAATGGCTCCAGCAGCTTGAGCGAGCTGGGAGACGCCTCAGACGACCAATCTGAACTCACGCCGAGACAGACGCCAGCAGCAGACCTGGATGAAGACGACTCGGAGGCCGAGACGGAGCGCCTGGACAACACGCCTCGAAAACTGGCGCGAACAGTCCCCGACACGCCCTCGTTATCCGAGTCAGCTTACACTAGGACTTCCAGCAAGCTGGCGCACTCTAAAATAATAGACCATGACGGCTCTACTCCTGCCACACCCTCTGCCCTCGCACACGACGCCCCTATTGATGCAGCAGTTACATCCGACAACCCCCTACACTCCCTGTCGCTTATCGCAACCACAGAGGCGGCCAGCCTGGAACACGTGGGCAAGAAACGAAAGCGAGCGAGCGCCGAGGGGAGCCCCATGGACGAGCAAGACGAGGAAGAGCCATTGCGAAAGAGAAGCGAGCCCGCGAGGAACTCGGCGCTCGACGGCCTGGCTGATGCTGCAGCCGACAGGCAAGGTCGTATGGACGCCGACGAGGAGCTCGAGAATGCCGAGGAGAACCTATCGGCACTTGCGCGTGAGGAATTGGAGCTTGAGGAGCGCCAAGCTAACATTGCCGCACAAGCTGTTAATGAAATGGCAACCGTTGCAAAGCACACAAAACCACGGAAAGGCGGTAGAAGAGGAAAGCGAAAGGTGGAGGATACCAGCCATGCCTACACTGAGCCTTTCGTGGCTGCCGAGACACAGGAGGGCGAGGCTGAGGGCGATCACGAAGAAGAAGACAGCTCGGTCTTGGACGAGGAGGTGACTAAGAAGAAAATCGCCATTGACGAACTTGCAAAGATTGAAAAGAAGTTTAAGCTATTCAGGGAAAAGTGAGTAGTCTGGCATGCACTTGGTCAGATGAATTCGTTACTGACTACAGCCAGGCTTTGTGACGAACAAATAGCACAACTCGAGCGGGAGTTTGAAATGCTCAAACAGCCAAACTGTGTTCACCCCGAGTACATGGCAATGATCAAATGCATCGACGATCGGCGCGCCGACAAGATTGCGTACGAGACGAGGCTGTTGGAATACAAGCAGAAGAATCTTGAGATAATAACAGCAGCGGAACGTCACCAAATGCACAGCCAGTACTTCCAGACTGTGCGACACATACGCGAAGAGATACTCGAAGAGTGCAACCAGCGCGTCTTTGAATTGCAGCGCGGAAGGCGACAGCTCGGCTGTGATGAGACGGAATACATGGTGCGATTGCCGGAGAAGAGGTCAGATCAAATTAGACACCAAACGGCGTACAACCTCGAGGTTTCTGTGCTGTCTGGTGTTGCCAAGTACGTTGGGTTCCCAGCGGCACCAGACATCAGTGCGGCGAGGCCGTCGGAGATTGATGAAGATCTTCGAGCTATGAAGGTGAGTGGCTCAGCGCAGCCGCAAATGCTGGAGATCTGGTAGCTGATTCGGCGCTACAGATTGTAACTCGTGCTCCGGCCCCGCCTCCTTCATTCCGCACCTACAACAGAACTACCACTACAGCAGACGAAGCCGCTGCAGAAGAACAGTTCTTAGAAAGCACGCCATGGGCCAACCCACGACACCCCTCACATCAAGAGAGTCGGTATCCTCTGGGGCCATCGCGCGTGCACAGTTATCAAACTCCGGCTGGCCAGCGTCGTATGGTTGACCTAACGGCCCCCAATGGTTCTGCGTCAACAATCGAAGCAAATTCAAACCCTCCTTCTTCACATGCCCATCACACCAATGGGCTTTCAGGTGATGCCGAGTCGCCGGTGCTGCACATGAAGCGCGCGCCAATCGACCACTCGGCGTACGGAGAGACACCTGGCTCCGATCCTCGTGGCAACATGGGGGTCTTGAGCAGGGAAACATATGGCATGATGTCAAGCCCTGCAGCACAACACATGGACCTTCCCCATGAACAAGGCGGTCAACGGTGGGGTGGCAGCGGTATACGACCGATGAATTCTGGGCCCAACGCTGCGCCTGGCCACCAGCCCGGCGGCCCAGGTCGACCAGACGCAGCGCGAGCACCCATGACACAACGTAGTGGTCTTGGTACAATCAGCGTTGGTAGTGGTTTATTTGGGCGCTGAAATCCAGAAATAAAAAATCTCCCACAAACAAACATAAAAGCCCCAGGGGGAAGAAACCAAAGGAAGAAGAACAAAAGAATACGACTTGCAATTCTCTGTTTTTTTTTTCTCGTGCAGATTTTTTTTTCGGGTTTTTGAGTTCGCACACACACACACACAAGTTTATTCTGAGATGCTTGTTTTAGTACGTTTTTTTTGGAACTTTTTGACTGTCTATTTGTCTGTCTGTCAAACTCTCCATCCCCATCTCCATCTCATGCGCGCGCGTCTTGTACCAAAGGGTTCTCTCTCATTGGGCGGCGTTCTGTTCTGTTCTGTTCTGTTTTTTTTTCATGTCATACTAGACATATCACATCACATCTCCTCCTCCTTCTCCTCTTCTTCTTCTCCTTCTTCTTCTAAGTTACCCTCTTTCTTTCTTTCTTTCTTTCTTTCTTTCTTTCTTTCTTTCTTTCTTTCTTTCTCCTCCCTCCACACCAATTTCCTCTCCCCACCGTTCTTCGGCTCCGAATATCTTTTTCTTCTTCGTATCTCTCTGTTTGTTTTTTTCTTGGCTCCGCGCAAAAACCTTGGGATCTTGGTCTCGAGCTATGGCCCAGCGTTGTGCTATGCTATGCTATGCTATGCTACGCTATGACATTGTCATGGTTCGGTTTGATTTTTGGGTTGCGGCCTTGTTTGTATGTATGTATGTATGTATGTATCTACGTGGGATGCACCTTTTCTCTCTCTCTCTCTCTCTCTCTCTCTCTTCTCTCCCCTCCCCTTTTTTATATCAGATTTTTCCTTTTGAGTTTTCTTTCTACGTGTGTATGTATGTCCTGCATGTTTTTCTTATATGCCCGCGCCTCTCTATCGATCGTTGTGTATACATGGCGGAAAACCAGCAAGGCGAAGCACGGTGTTGGTGGAAAAGCTGGGGGCGTGGTGGATTGGGTTTGGCTGGATTTGTGTTGATCTGGTTGGGTTGAGCTGGGAGAAGGGCGAAGGGGCAATATCTGGGCTTAGTTGAGATCAGTTCAAGAATGAAAGAAAGAAAGGCATGGACATATGTATGTATTGTATATGATCTGCGCAATTAATACCTCTTGATGCTTTTTTCTTACTTGTTGGATCGTGGCTAACATGGGTAAATCGCAAGTATCTAAAATGGAAGCGCTAGGTATAGATAGCAATGCTTTTTTTTGGATAAGTATTTGAAAGTAAAACGTCCTTTGTGCTGCATGAATGGAGTGTTTGCGGTGTTACTGCTGCGGCGCTGCAGGAGGAGTCTTATTAGGATATCAGTCTTTTAGATTTTATCTCGCGGGCCGTGAATGGTTTGCCATGCTGTCTTCCGAGGACATGAAATAAATGTCTATTTACCGTCTCGATAGGCTGCTCCAGATGCGTTTGAGGACTTGATAGGCGAAGGGGCTTTCTCGTTGTGAGTGGTATATAGTTGGTTTTGAAGTTGTATATAAACAAACTGAGGCATCATTGTGTATTACACAAATAGAGGGATGTTGATTCATTCTTCTGACTGGCTTGCTTGTTTGTAGATTCCAGAGAAGAGAAAGAAAATCCCAGTCCTCATGCTGGGTAGATTGTTGGAATTCACTCTTTCTCACTTTCAAGTCTGGATGAGGCATCTCGACGACTGTCTGGAGGTGGAGATGAAGTCTAATCCGGCATGCTTTTAAGCACTATACTGATTTCTAAAACTTTATTGGAAACGACCAAAGACGGCAACTTGGCCTACTCCATGACATGCAATATAGCTAGCAATTCTTGACTCAGCAGCCCAGCCGGCATTGTCTACAGCCGGAATCTTGTCTTTCGAAAGCGCATGTAGCGGCTCGTTCTGTGAAATGACGGTATATGGAGAGGGAGGCTGGCCACGGGAGCTAATCGATCACTTGACCATGGAGTGGTAGCTCCCCTCAACTCTACACACGCTGTAACACAGGCTACTGCTCCAATCGTAAGACCATGCTCAGCCGGGGAAAGAAACTGGAATTTGCCGCGTGCCGAAAGAGAGCGATCGTCGTCTTGGCAAACTTTGTTCTGCGCCTAAACAGGTGACGTAGCAATTAGAGTTCTTATGTGATGCACGGAAAGCGGTTGGCATCACAGTCGTACGGCCGTCGAGGCAGATCAATGCCAGAGATGAGTTGAGGCCGAGGGTAAATGTCACGGTGACTAGGTGCAGATGGACCGGGGAATCGATGTCGGCGAGGAGGAGAAGCTGCATGTGAATTGGAGGGGGATACTGCGCTTGGAGTAGTCATAGTGCCGGCTGCTGTGCTGGCCACATGGCAATATAGCTACGCCGCCAATGCAGCTAGTCGTAAGAACAACCAAGACGCCGGGTACCTCGAGGCTATTTATTTTCCAAAGCGCAGCCGTAGACAGATGAGGACGTTTGAAGGAGGTTAGCTAGCTGGGAAACCAGTAATTACCAGTGTAGTCTTGAGAAGCAGCGACATCCTACCAATTGGGAATGCGCGTGGTCGATGTGGAGGCGCATATAGCACAGATTCGGTCGATGCGGATTAAAAGTGACCTCTTTTGGATATACATGAGTCAGGGTGATCGCCGACTGATGCGATGTGCCGGTGATTGACCGTTTGATACAGGCTAATGGGTGATCGCCCCGCATCGATCCGAGGATTTTTGCCATACAATACGGGATGCCACAGTGACAGCCATGCGAGTGCGATCACTTTGGGACTCTTGGCTGTGACCGCGTTGACCTCGTGCTTATCCATGCAAGTTTCCAATAAACTCCAAGTCTGGCGCTAGAGGCTCTAGCTACTTGTCAATGGCGTGACACATGGCAGAAAGAGGCTTGTTGGTGTGGTTACGAAGATGAAGGCAAGACCAACAGCCTGGATTGAGGGCAGATAGGTGTGCTGTCCAAATTACGATGGCGGATAGCACACCCATCGGAACGATGGAGGCTGTGTCATGGTGCTGCTGTCTGAGTCAGTAGTGTTGGATAGTTAGCTGGCGTCGCATCGTAGAATCCGTCATGCAGACAAATACTCGGCGTAGAATAGGGGTGAATCCATGCACTCCACGTGACGACCCTGCATCGTGATCGCCAGTAATCGGATAATTCCCGTGGGACGTAACGTCTGCAACTGCCACATCACAGTGTCGCATGCTTCATGGCGAATGAAGAGAAGCGGTGGAGGGAGATGGCAAGTCAGATCCCACGCCATGACCAAGAGGCCTAGCTCGCCTTGACTCGGATGGCAGCCGTGCGGAAGGGGGGCGATCTGCGGGCGCAGCAATGGACTTTGCGCCGTCTTGTAGCCTCGTTTCGATGCTGTGTCAGGTAGACCCTGTAGGGCTGCAGTATCAGTGTCAGCTAGGATTGGCTTTGAGCTCATAGCATGGAAGCTGACAAGATCCAGAAGGCGATTGTTCCAAGCGAGAGGCGTCGAGGTGGAACTTCGGAAAGACGGAAATGCCCCAGGACACGGCAGATGTCGCAACAGTGTACGTCAGCCGAAGAGGGCTTCGGATGTGGCGTTGTCGGCTCGGAGGCATGTCTCCTAGACTGTAGAATTTTGCATCGGCACAAAACCCATGGTTCAGCTCGAAAATTGTTGAATGTCATGGAGCGGTTTTTCGAGGGCAAAAGTCGACCAAGAGAGAACCCGGACGATGGGAGAGGAAGGGGGAGTGTTGCATGTCTTGTGGAGCGGGATATTGCGCTATTTTGATTGATGCTGGTGTTACAGAAGCACGCTTGACATGGAAGGTGATTCCTAGGCCGCCCGTGGTTTATGTATAGCATTGACATGTGCAAGACAGCGGGAAGCGTCCACTATGTACAACAAACCCATTGTTGTCGTTCTTGTTGTTGCGAAGACGTTTGCCACATGCAGCATCCGCCGCCGCCGCCAGCTGATCGACGCCATTGCGAACATGATCTTCGGTCAGAAAACAAAGTATGGGTCTACCATGTGAGTGAAGAAGCTAAAGAGGACTTTGCAGCTGAGAGGGGGGCGATATTCGGCCGACTTTCACATGGCATAGCCGGTAGTGGAGCATAGCGCTTGGGTTAGTGGTGGCGGAGAGGTCGTGCGCGGCTGGCGGGCTGGTCTTGGCAGGAGGGAAGGCCGTCTTTGGTAGACTTTCCGGCTCCATTACGGCTCAACGATGACTTGCCGTGTCTCACCACACCATGGACCAATATCTGGGGATTCTATGCATCGGAAGACACCGATTGCGGCTGGACCATCATGTTTTTGCTCGCTAGACACAGTCAGGGAAACTTCCGCGGCACTCTAGCGTCTGCCTCCCGTCAATTCTGCATGTGTCGCCAAACTCTCGTCAACGCCAGGAGTCGACTGTCTGTGAATAGCATCTGCTCGGCTGCTGGCAGCATCTGCCCTGCAAAGCATAACCAGAGGCCTACTTCAGCCGGTCGGGGTGCCTTTTGCCGTCCTAAATGTCCCTTCGATCATTGGCTGTACTCCTCCATCATGGAACCTAGTGCAGGTCCTTCTATGCGGAAAGCAGGGGATCACAACCTTGGTACCGATGAGGCATGTCCATCGAACAAAGATACTAGCATTGCGCGAGCCCCACCTCCCTCACGACCCTACAGTTGCCATCCGCGGCCCCATAGCCCCATGTGTCGGTACTCATCCGCGTGCCTTGGGGGTCTCATATAGGAGCAAGCCCCTGCGGACTAGCCGCTAGGACTGGCAGTTCTATATACGCCTAGATATTCCTCCCCGCCCCCGTGGATCCTCAAAGCAAGAGGTTGTTCCGGAACACCAGTCCTATACATTTCGTCCCTTTGGTTCCTGGCCGTTTGGGCAACACGGCACTCTCTCCTGAGCAAGGATGAGGTGCTTGCCATTGCTGCTTTCATTGCTGGCATGGATGCAGTTGGTGCTTGCTCAGGATTTGACATTACAATCGGCAGTTAAACAGCTTCCTCAATGCGCGGTATGTCTTGTTTGATCCATGTTTCGCAAATTTGCTGACTCTGCTTTCCAGCAAGTGTGCCTCAAGGAAGCTCTTGCACAGTCATCATGTGAACCGACCGATACGATTTGCATCTGCATGGATGAGCAACTACAAGCAAATGTTGGAACTTGTTTGTTGCAGGCATGTACACTCAAACAGGCCTTGTGTAAGCAGCTCTTTGTCACAGCTGTAGCCACTTCTAATCATCCATCTAGCAACCAAGAATGCTACGGCGACAGTCTGCCACGCCCCGATACGCTATTCGGGTGAGAATGCCCGCGTCAGTAACATAATTCTTGCGGTTGTGACGGCTGTGTGCGCACTTACCAGGCTCGTCTACAAGGCCATCGTCTCCGCTGGCGAACTAGGATACGATGACTACAGCGTCCTTGCCGCCGTCATCTGTGGTGTGCCGTCTGTGATCATCATTGACAGATTTTCCGTGCCCAACGGACTTGGAAGAGATGTCTGGACCGTCAGTTTTGACCAGATCACCGAGTTTGTCAAATACCTTTACGTCTTGGAAATCCTATACTTCCTCCAGGTTGCCCTTTTGAAGCTTACGCTTCTGTTCTTCTTCCTTCGGATCTTCCCAAAAACCATCACCAAGCGACTCCTCTGGGCAACTGTAGCCGTCAACTGTCTCAGTGGTGTCGCATTCGTCTTTGTCGCCATCTTCCAATGCAACCCGATCTCTTCCTACTGGACGAGATGGGATGGCGAAGGCACTGGTAAATGCATCAATATCAATGCTCTTGCATGGTCCAATGCCATCATCAGCATAGTCTTGGATATCTGGATGCTTGCTTTGCCTTTGCACCAAGTCTTCCAATTACAACTATCTTGGCGCAAGAAGCTTGGCGTAGCCATCATGTTCTGTGTAGGAACATTGTGAGTTGAACCCCAGTCCATCGATTAACCTCACATACTGATACTCTATCCAGTGTGACCGTCATTTCCATTCTGCGTCTTCGATCTCTCGTCACCTTCGCCGCCTCCAACAATCCAACCTGGGACCAGACCAGCGTCCTCAACTGGTCCAACCTCGAGATCAACATTGGCATCATCTGCGCCTGCCTACCAGCACTACGCATCATTCTCGTTCGCATGTTTCCCAAGATTATGGGCACCACCAAGGCTACCGAGCAGCCGTACTACGGAACCGGAAGCCAAAGCTATGCGAGCAGACACGTCGGCAGCGCGTCAGCCAGTCGGCCAGAAAAGTCCTTCGCCTCCGCGTCAAGGGGGAATCCAGCTGCCATCACATATACGAAAACGTTTGAAGTGCGGCACACAGAAAGCGATGAGCAGTCGCTCGTGGGCATGGAATTAAGCCATTTTGCTCATAAAAAGGCAAATCCAAGTAGCAGCACGAGTGTGTCGAGCGTGTAGATTTATAGATTAATAATACCCAATAAAAGCAATTTGACATTGCTCATGACATGAAAAAAATCCTTGCAACCTTTATTGATACATACTTCACTATTACCTGAGACGCTATTTTTAGGACTGTGGCAAAGAGAGCGCACGAATCAAACATGTTGCTAATATGTCATGTGCATATAGCGGTTATAGGCAGTAATATCCGGCTTGTTGAATCAGAATCGTTGAACAGCTGTTCTGATAATATCGAAGTTTAGATGCTGATCCTAGGCTTATTTCCGCGTTCTTATTCATCACCGAATGTTGACTTTGCAAGGCATCCTGATGTCGTGAAATTCAATACTACCATCCATAATATAGTAACTACACCTCGCCTATAGCTCCGAATTCATGCTCTAAGCCTCCCTGTTTATGTTTCGAGCTGCGAACTGAGTCAGTTATGCTCTTATAGATGTCATTGTAATATCGAAACATGCTAAGCGTAATAGCATAGATGGAGATGGGGTATATGACTAATAAAAATAAAACTTTTACAAACGTCTGTTACACATTATATCTTGCCTATTCCTCCTTTCCTCCCTGAGCATTCGCTCAATCATGTGGTCGAGTTGTCCGAGAAGAATCGAGAAACAAAGCGCCCTCTACTTCGCACTAGATTCCCACACGCAGAGCTACACGACAAAATAGTTTTATATTCCATTGCAGTCACTTACATTCTTTCTGTGAGATTGAACACGCTCTGTGCTATATATTTCGTCTAGGTAATGTGGACTAAGTCTCCTCTTAAACCGGAGCCTAGACTACAATGTCCATCGCTCACCTTACAAAGTTCTCCAGAACTTTACTTTTAAAGGTTTGTATCTTTATTTCCCACTATCCAATCTGCTCATTTTCTTTCTTAAAACTCGGTCAGTTTGATTACGGGTCAAAATTTCCTTTCTGTGTTGCAATCCGCTAATACAGTGCATACCATTTCTATCAACAACACACAGTGTTTTCAGTCGGTGCTTAGGATGACTATACTTAATTATCTTTTTTAATCCCTCATTAATAAATACATTGATCTCAAACTTTGAGTCGAAACCTAGACGCAGGGTCTGCAAACTAAGTGGGAATATTAGTGGGCATATCCGTGGCCTCTGAATGTGTGTTAACTTGTTGGTTTTTTCGATTAGGTGATATGCAAGCGAATCTAAAATTGTTTAATGTTTTCGATACCCATAGTTAGATTTATTCGCTATCAGTATAGGGAGATATATCATCCAGGCGCCCGTTTAATAAAGATGGTGCGTCGTGGGAACACGAGAACGAATGCTTGATGGTTGAAAAATGGGCGAGCTTAGATACAACGAGCTCGGAATTGTTGCTGCCCAGCAGATGAATTGAGGGACTAAATAGAAATAGCACATGTATGCTTCTCCAAATACAACATTCCTAGGGCAAAAGGCCACTTGCTTGGCATAGATTTGTAGTTTGGCTTCAATATACACAATGTAGCTTGCTAATAGCAAGGAGTTTTTTTAATTACGCAACCCTTCTCATTTAAAACTTCAGTTTCAACTCCAAATCAAGGTGATGCAGGCGGCCGTTACATTTTCTTCTTTCACTGCCCATCCTTAATCTCACTGGCAGTCTCCACTTGAATCTTTGATATTCTGTACTGAGATCTTTGTGAAAGTACCAAGATCTCTCTTAGGACCCAAATTTCTCCTGACGATCCAATTTCTAGAGCCTTGCAGTGACTCACGTTGCACCTAACAATTGTAGCATTCACCACAGGCGGCCTAATGTGGGCAGATAGTAGTAGCGCATTATCTGTACTCTGCTCGTTGCCTTGTATTCTACTTAATTTTTTGAAAATTGTTTCGTCTCATGGAAGCCGACAACATGAACACTCTACAAGTCTTTGCTAAACAAAAACCCAATAGCGGATATTTTGTACTCTACTCTTGTACTCACCAGAAACAGCTATAGACAGCGAACGTATTATGCTCCCTACAGATAAGAATATTTGCCATGCAAGACCATTATAAGTGATTGATATATCGATGTTTATTGCTACTAGATAGAATATATGTGGTGCAAAAAGACTAACCTTCTGCACTATGCAGAAGGTAGAGTAGATATATCCCGATAATATATTTGCTACAAGAATGGAACGTGTGAGTGACCATGAAGGCTTATGAAGAGTAGCGCATATCCATAATGCATGTTACAGCGAAAATGCATGCCGTGAGCTAGGAAACCGATGACTGATAAAAATGGAGCTGCGAAATCATATTCTACCATTATAGCTTTAATGAGACATGGTAGAATCCGCCTCGCGCTTCAACTGACCTGCTTCCGGTGACAGCTGGAAGTGTATATGCTGGTAACTTGAGAATTTGCTCTATTTAGGTTGTTTAACTTATAGATCAGCACTGCAGATAATATATTCAAGTTTTCCGCGAAGGCTTTTATATAAAACGTTAGTCGGATTACTGTCTTTGACACATCTCGAAGATGAGGATATTTGATATGTCAGCACTGCTTTCTATGCCTCTAACCTCTAAGAGTGCATGCATTGCTCTGTGCTCGCGGTTTTAACATCCAGTCCACTTTGTAGTGATTTCCATGCTCGGTATGATTTTCTGTATTGCCAACATTGATGTATTCGCAAAATATGTACGTGTTTAGTCAAGTTTGAAGAGCTACATAGCGGTAGTACGATCTACACACACAGTTGCTATCGCTTTATTGCACGCGGCTAAACTGAATCGTCTTAAAACTAACGACCAGTCTAGTGTCTTCCAACGAACAACATGTGATCTGCGTGCAGCAGATCCCGTTCTTCCAACACGACCCATGCACAGATTACATTATCGTTTTCAACACACAAGAAACGTAACTTTTACCACTAGCATCACCCTCTTCCCTAGTTGTCTCAAACCTACCAGTTTCTTTCGTCTAGTGCGCAGAACCTAGATTAAAGACATATGAACTGCATGACATTATGAAGGCCAGATCAGTCGACAAGATAGCATTGAATAATGACTCGTACGTAATCTATCGTCCCGGAACACAGTGCCGTGAATGCGGGCAGTACATTCGTAACTAGTACCAGCTAAGCACACGGTAGCGGCGCTATTCGTGCACTAGGTACTTCCCATACGTCACGCAGTTATCCGTCCAGCCTAGCCTTCTCGAACGCCACGTTCTCACCTAAGCAAGTTAACAAACCTACTACCATCACACTAAACATTATAATGCTCACTTGACCATGCCACACCACTCTGACGTAACACATGCTTTGATAATACCTTTCAGTCCCCCAGCAATTGCGAAAACACCACCTCGGGTCTTTCCCGCTCATCTCGATGCCAAAACGGCCCCTACACCATATCCGCACGCAACAATAATACCCAGATTACCAGCTTACCCCAAATGACACGGAATAGGTAGTGATGCCCAGCCCCCTGTTTCCAAGAAGGGTTTAGCTCTTACATTTGGGCCTCTGTTGTTCCGGAACATGCGTCCCACCCCCAATAAACGCGGGGCCCCTCGAAGCAAACAAACCTACTTCAATCAAGGTTTCGAAATGTCGAATACCTGTAAGTTTGCTTGCCGGGTATGCTCCGTGCCGTGTTCGTCTTTTGGGTAAGATATGGTGTGTTTCTCCATGTACGGAATGGTGCTGCAGATGAGAGCGGCGCGGTACAATGTGCCGCTAGAAAAACTCTAGAAGCAAACAAAAGCGAAAAACTAATTTTGAGTCAAGATGGGAAGATGGATTGGAAAACAAGGGGTCCCCACGCTCCCACCACAGCCCGTCTTACCCCAACCCCACGTTTCCCCAACACTGCTTTTTCCCCTCCTAGAATCCACCTTGCTAGCCTACATTTCCTTCTTTGTATCTGTCTTCTCTTGCTAGCACGTGTAATCACCTTTCCATCAACACACTCGATACTGATTAGGTTATCATCGACATGCACTCATCCAAAACGCCCATCCAAATATTCCTGTAGCGCCCCCGATCTTGAAACTATAAAACGAATTCACCACATCTTAGTCGGAAAGAACCTTGGCTCGGAAACTCGACCCTCAGACAAACTTTCTTTTTGTTCTCTACAACCAGTTATGACCTGTGAAGAAAAAAAAGAAAAAAGAGGAAGAATATTCCATGCACCATGCCACATTGCTTTGCCACACAGCCACACCCCTCTATGTCGCACCAACGCGGCCTTTCTTTCGCCTCCATCGTACCTACACATATACGTAAAAAAAACCCCTACATCCATATCCGTCCCATGCATCCGCCCATAAAACCAAGCACGTAATCCCAATGTGGCAATTCTATCCGATCCTTGATTCTCCCCGAAAAACTCTCCTTATCCCATCGAAAACGCCCCTTCACCACCAACCAAAGTCCAGACACCCACACATAGATATACAGATACATTCAAAAAAACCCCCCCTCCCCCTAATCAGACCTACACACGAAAACGTATACGCTTTCCGGTTCATTCGAGCGCAAGGACTTTTTCATCCTTCCTTTCCAAAAAAAAGAAGAAGAAGAAGAAGAAGAAGAAGAAGAAGAAGAAGAAGAAGAAGAAGAAGAAGAAGAAGAAAAAAAGAAGTGTGCATAGCCATCATTTGCATATTGCATTTCCAAGTTATTTTCCCTCTGACGTATAGAAAACATACACACACACACACACACACACACACTCTCTCTCTCTCTCTCTGTCTCTCTATCTCTCTATCTCTTGATACATGTATCCAAACGTCCAAAACCAGCCAAAAAAAACAAACAAAACGGAAGCAACCTCTGCAAAAAGAAAAAAAAGAAAGACCAAAACGACGTGGGAGGGAAAGGGAGGGAAGGGGGGGGGAGGGGAGGGCATGCCTGGTCAGATAGATAGGAAAAAAAAGGATTTCACATTGTATATATATATTACGTACGTATATATATATATATATAAGTCTTCATTCATTCATTCATTCATTCATTCATTCAATCATCCATTCAAAGGGTATATATATGTGTGACAACAAGACTGTAGAAGAAAAAAAGAAAAAAAAACGCACGTTGCACAGTACGGTACGGTACGGTACGGTACGGTACGGTACGGTGTGGTAAGCTGCGGTGTGGTAAGCTGCGGTGTGGTATGTACGCTGCAAATAATTGTACAATAATAGCGGGTGTCAGCTTCATCATCATCATCATCAGCAGCAGCAGCGGTAGCGGTAGAGCGCTAGTAACACTAATTAAGCATTAAGCACATGTACATGTACATGTACATGTACCATACTGTAGACTGCGTGTAGAAGAAGAAGAAGAAGAAGAAGAAGGAAAAAAGAACGACAAAAAAGGTCCAAAAAGAGAGAGAGAGTGTGTGTGTGTGAGTGAGAGTGAGAGAGAAAACGGGCCGTATCGACGGCCCATGTGACGTTGGAACGTGAGAAAAGGGCGGAACGACGGATGGACGGGCCAGGATCCCGGTGTATGTGAGGCATTTTTTTTTCTCTACACAACTTCGCTGTCCTTTCGTGTGTGCCGTGTTTATTTATTGAGGAAGAGTTATTCGGAGGTTCGGGTTTGGATGTAGGTTGCAGAGTCATGGACATTGGGGATGTAGATTGGTGGGGGGTTGTGAGCCGCAGAGTCATGGTTAAGAGAGAGATTGAAACGCGAGTCATGTAACAAGGCGTGGTACATGGACAAAGTAGTGATTGTGAATAAAACATAGTTGATAATAATTCATTAAAACTCATAAATCATCACCAGAGGTATATACAGAATACAGCGTTATGATGCCACCTCATGAACCAAAGGTCATGCAATCAACATCATATCCCTAAACAACATCTTCAGATCATATCGCGTTTGTTGAGAGTAGACAGGTGGTGCTTAGACGACCGTCTTCTCGGGGTACTCGGTGTGAGTAGCGCTCCTCTTGCGGGTAGCATCAGCCTCAATCTCAGTAAGGCTTGCGCGGCGAGTGTCGGCGTGCATGTCCTGAATGTCCTGGAAAGATACCGAAGGAACAAAGCCAGGTGATTGCCAGGCCTTGGAGCACTTGCTGTAGAGCTCGTCGACCTGCTCGAGAGACAGACCCTTGGTCTCGTAGATCATGCCCCAGACGAAGAAGATGCAAATGAAGCAGCATCCGCCCCAGACGAAGAAGACCTTTGCGCCCATATTGGCGTTACCGGGACCACTGTTGACCATGTAGGGGGTCGAGTATCCAATGGCGAAGTTGAGGAGCCAGTTGCTGGCTGTGGTCATGGAGAGAGACTTGGCGCGGACCTTGAGGGGGAAGATTTCACCAGTGACAACCCAGGCGACCGGGCCCCAGGAGCAGGCGAAGAAGAAGATGTAGATGCAGACAAAGGCAATCAGAGCCTTCTGGGCCGACAGGTTGTCAACGCCGGCAACGGTACCGGTAATGGCAACAATGAACTGGCAGACAGCCATACCGACGGCACCAAAGAGGAGAAGGTTGCGGCGACCCCACTTCTCGACAAGGTAGAGACCGGGGAAGGTAGAGGCGACGTTGACACACGAGGTAATCATAGAAACAACAAACGGGTTGCGGATACCAGAGTTCTGGAAGAAGGAGGTTCCGTAGTAGAAGATGAAGTTGACACCAGTGAGTTGCTGAAGGGACTGGAGAAGACAGCCAGTGGCGAGGCGCTTACCAAGGTTGCCACGGAAGCAGTCGGCGTAGGTAGCCTTGCCGAGAGACATTTCATACTCGTGGTTGGCCGTGATCTCGGCCAGCTCCTCAATGAGGGCCGGGTCTTCAATGTTGAGACGACGAAGCGTGGAAAGAGACTTGGCAGCCTTTTCGTGCTGACCCTTCTTGATGAACCAGCGGGGAGTCTCGGGAAGGAAGATGCAGCCGAAGAAGAGGACGATGGCCCAGGCAAACTGAACGGCAATGGGGATGCGGTAAGAGCCAGTGTCGCTCCTGTCCTTGGTAGCGTTGTTGACAATAGCGGCAAGCAAGAGACCAATGGTGATGGCGAGTTGGTAGCTACCGACAATGGTACCACGAATCCACTTGGGGGCGGTCTCGGATTGGTAGAGAGGAATGGTGGCAGAGATCATACCGACTCCGTAGCCGGCAAAGAAACGACCAGCAACGAACATGGGGATAGCAGTGGCAGCAGTCTGGAGGATGACACCAAGGCAGAAGACGACGTTGCTGGCGACGAGGCCAAGGCGACGACCAAGGAGATCGGCAGTTGGGGCAGCGGTCAATGCACCGAAAAAGGTACCAGCCGAGAGAATGGAGACGATCAGGGACGTCTGCTCAGCCGTGACATCGGGCATGTGGTCCTTGGGGTTGATGTATCCGGTGCTGAAGAGCTCGCGCCAGTGGTGCATTCCAAGAATACCACCAATGGTACCGGTATCGTAACTGCAGGGTCTGTTAGCAAGAAGACTTGGGGGCGAGGATCCAGGGCTGCATACCCGAACAAGACACCACCGAAAGCGACGAACAAGCCGACCAAGATGGCGGGCATGGTGGAACCAGCCACGCCCTCGGGCTTCTTCAGCATGACACCCATGGCTGGCGACTATGCAGGTAGACGGGGCAGGTGTAGTGAGGGGAGACTCAGATCGAGGCAGAGGAGGGAGGAGTGTACTCGAATGAAGAGAGAAGGTGAGCCTGGAGGAGGATCAACGATGTTTAAGTAGTGCTGCGACCGCGATCCCATGGGCATGGGGAACTCCATGGGCAGCTCCCCAGTCCGGAGGCTAGAAGCATGGGGAGAGGCGCTAGGCGCGACTAGGGCCGGAACAGGACTAGGGCCGATGGGGCTGGGGATGCTTAGCGTGATGCTTAGTATGCGAGCTAGAGCAGACCAGACGGATGCTGCTCGTACGTTGCAGGCGTGCGGTCATGATAGCCGCTGCGTTGTGATGGACTAGGCTTGGCCAGGTCTTGCAGAGCGGAAGTCGAGATGCGGCTAGTGCACAGCAAAGCTCAGTCGTTCGGCGGTGGTGTGCCTGGAGGCCAGGGCACATACGGGCGTATTTGCAGGCGTATTTGCAGGCGTATTCGCAAGCGTTGGGCGACTGAGGTGCCAGTCCGCTGACGCGGGTAGTCATGAGCGACTTGGCAGTTGCAGTTGGGAGTCCCAGTCAAGGTGTGGCGTCTAATGGTGCATCATGGTCGGACACTACGGCAGTAGCGCAGAGCTTGGTAGACGTGGTCCATCAAATGGGATACCCCAACGTCACCAATGGTTAACCACCTCATCCATCCATGCCGGACATGTGGTCAGGCAGCAATTTTTTTTTGCCTCTGCTCGGTCGAGGGTATTGTTCAGGCCGATTCCCCAGAGAAAGAAAGAAGAGAAAAAAAGGGGGGTGGGGTGCAAGTGGGATGCATTACTCGTCACCCCAGGGCGACAAAGTCATGGAGGTGGAGAGGGTGCGGAGACAATCGCCTATTGTCTCACCCATCTGGGCAGTCTCTCCGCGATGGGCTGGGGAGGGCAAGGCGGCAGGAGCGTTTTCTGGAATATGGCCTACTCTGGTAGCTGGTATTGAACGGCGCACAGATGGCGGCACGGCGTGCTGTGAGAGGACGGAGCGGACAGTGGAGGGGGGGGAGGGGGGAGGGGGGAGGCGGGGATTGCGGTAGTGCGACAATTTTTGCGTCTGGCCATTCGCAGGGGGCGAGAGAACGACGGGTTGGTGGGGTGCATTAGTTCTCTCCGGACCCCGTGAGGCTCGACAAGCTCTGCATGGGCAGGCTTGTGTTGAGTTTCTGGAGGGGGGGCAGCGAGCCGAGAGTCGGCCAACCAGATGGGACGGCAACGGTAGGCTGCGGCCGGACACGAGGCGCTTGGCCAAACTATCGGGAAGATTTTCATGCACTAGGCGCGACAGAGTGGCCTTGAGTGTGTGCAGGGCCTTGACCTGGTCGGATGCAACCTGCTGCATGCGTCGCCAGGCAGAAAATTTTGTCGGGCGAGGGCCGGCCTCGCCGCTGCGGCTCAACTGTGGGATCCACCCACCCCGTGCGCCTGGGACTGAATACCAGCAGCAGCAGGTCAGGTGGGCTTGGGGGCCTGAGCCATCATGGACCTGGACCAGGTCGAGCGAGACGGGGCGTCTGGAGACGAGAGGCGTGCCGGGGATTAGTGCGGGCTGGAGGGTGTGACGCTGCGTCGACGACGACGACGACATGGACGGGGGTGGGAGAGGGTTGTATGTGGCGTGGAGTAGTAGTACGTAGTATGTGCGTAGGTACAGGCAAGGTGTGTAGAGGGGTAGAGACGAGAGGAGCAGCGCCGTGGCTGGCTGTGGGCGCTCTCGCTAGCACTAGAGCTTGAGTGCCCAAGGCGTGGTGCCAAGACGCCTACACGTGCCTTGGCCTCTTCGCCGTCGCTGGGCCTTGGTCGCTTGCATCTTGTGCTTGTTTTTGCTCCGAGTCGGCTTTTGCTGTCGCTGTGGCCAGTCGGGCGTCATGACTCGCGGCTCCTTCACGTCACGCCCGCCGTTGGCTGTGCGCGCAGTGACAAGAACCGGCGTTTGCCCGGCACATGTCACGGCCTGTCAACACCACACCACACCACACGGCATGGCATGGCATGGCCGTGGCCATGGCCACGGCCACGGCACTGTCACTGTCGCCGATGCCCGTCAAGTCGGGGCATCCAGGGCGGGGCTCTAATTGGATCGACGCCCGCTGACGCCGCCATGGCCTGTCCCTTTCTCTCTCGCTGCACCATGCCATGACATTTCAACGGCCTCAGGTCACGAGCATGAGGGGTACCAAGGTACGCCCTCGAGGTACTTGAGCGCGTGACGCCCGCCGTGCGCTGGTACCAGTACCGTACTTTTGCCCCTGCCGTGCCTATTACCGTACCCATCTGCCCCACCTGAAACACCGGCCCACGCGAGGCGAGGCATCCATCACCACATGCACATGGAGGCGCGGCCACGCCGACAGCGGGAGCGAGAGCGAGAGAGAAACACAGCACTTCACGTCATTATGCCCTGAGTCTGCCGCAGCACACCAACACAGACAAACACGGAAGCCGATATGCTGGAAAAGCAACACAGCCACCCCTCGACGAGCCCCCGCGGCTCTTGGCCATCTGACAAACCACCACGCCCCGACGTCATCGCACCATGACCCATTGAACGCCTTCGCCAGCAGCCTGCGCAGGCACTGCATGCTCAGAGCACCACACACGCCGAAACGCACGCCAGCATGAGCGAAATACCTCCAACACCAAGACGCTCACGACATGTGTGTGTGTGTGTGTGTGTGCATTGGCAGCAACAACCCCAAGCAGACAGCCCACCTTCGCCAAGCAGCCAATGACACGCCCCCAAAGCGCGTCTCGCCATTCCCCACTCCAAAGCGCGTCTTGATCGCCTGGCCCTCACCGCTCCCCCCCTCGAACCGACGCCCTCCAAGCTCACGATACCGACACACCATCTTCTTTTTTTTCTCTTCCACCCAGCAATGTCCGACACCCCCCTGCCCGCCCACGAGCCGCCCTCTCTGCCCGCCTCCCCGCTGCCCAAACGAACAAAAGTCATTGACCCCACTCCCCTCACCACCACGTCGACCCTACCGCGCGGCACAGACTCCGGCACCGCGACTCCCACGCCGCTAGCTGCCACTACAACCGCCCACCACACGATGCCTGCCCTGCAGCCCCCCGCCCCGATTGCCCCCTCAATTGCTGCTGGCGCCGCCGCCGAGCAGCAATTGCAGGTCCAGCTGCTGAGCGAGCACGCCAAGGCCCCGACAAAGGGCAGTGCCTTTGCCGCCGGCCACGATCTGTACAGCGCCGTCGACATGGTGATTCCTGCCCGCGGCCGCGCCCTCGTCGCCACCGACATCAAGGTTTCGGTGCCTGTAGGGACGTGTAAGTGACCCGTTTCTTCTTGTACAATGCCACACACACACTTCATGTCAATACTAACATGCACACCTTCAGACGGCAGAGTAGCCCCCCGCTCGGGTCTCGCATACAAACACGGCATCGACACCCTCGCCGGCGTCATTGACGCAGACTACCGCGGCCCTGTCGGCGTCATCCTCGCAAACCTGTCCGACACGGACTTTCCCGTCAAGATTGGCGACCGCATTGCCCAGCTCGTGGTTGAGAAGATTGTCATGCCCGATGTCGTGGTCGTCAAGGAGCTGGAAGAGAGTGTGAGAGGCGCTGGCGGCTTTGGAAGTACAGGCGGCTTTGGCAGTGTTGCTGCTGCTGCTGCTGCGGCGGCGGCGGTGGTGGTGCCAGAAACTGCCAAGGACGAGTCCAAGGAAGAACAAGGTACAAAGGCTTAGACAAGTGTGTCTGTAGCTTGTATTGTATTAGCAAGAGTGCTGGCGTGTCATGGCCATGACCATGATTATTGCTTGGGTTATACATGGTGCCATTGAGACGCCTATGTGGATTCGAGGAGAAACCCTCCAAAAACCACTCTGTGAGCACTCTCGCAAAGTCCATGTCAAGGACTCAACCAGATGCACCAAAAGCACAGCAACAAGGCACGAGAGATGGACTAGAGTCTGATAGAAGCTGCAAATATCCACCGACATGATCCACGCACACACATATGTATACGTATACATTTCTATTTCTATTTCCATTAAAACCAACTCTAAATCTCTCTCTCTCTCTCTCATACACACATCATGCCTCAGTCTCAGTCTCAGTCTCAATCTCAATCTCAGTCTCACCACCACCACCACCACCACCACCAACCTGCACAGCCCCCCCCCCCCCCCCATCCTTGACCCCAACACCCAAATGCAGCACATGCAACGCATCCGGCACTCTCTCTCTCTCTCGCCCACACTCCTAGGCACCAAAGCCGCCGCCCTCACGCACCTCCTGCGGCGCAAACCTATCTACATTGGGTGGATCCTGCAGATCGCTCGCGTACCTGACGACGGCGACCTCGCTGGCATTCATAAGCGCCAAATGGCGTTTCTTGTCGGCGTCGCGCCTGGCTTCTGGGGAGGCGTCGGAAGGAGTAGTAGTAGTAGTAGCAGCAGCAGCGCGCTCATCGTAATCAGCCATTTTGCGCAGACACGACGTGGTAGTTTTTGCGAGGACGGCTTGCATGGAGGCGAGGACTTTCTGGCAGGCTTTGGCGAGCGGGAGCTGCGTGGGCGGCACCGAGTCGGGCGAGCGCCAGCTGGGCGTTGCGGCTACATTTGCGTCTGGTGTTGAGGCTGCGTGCACGGCTTCAATGAGGCGTGGGATGGTGAGTGCGGCGAACATGTCGCCGGTGCCCGAGAAGAAGAGGGGGAGCTGGGGCGTGTCGATGCGGAAGAGGCGTGGCGTGTAGTCTGACGTTGCTGTGGAGCCGATAATGGTCAGGTTTTGGATGTCGTCGTCGTCGTCGTCGTCGGGATTCTGCGCTGGTGCTGCTTGTGGCATGCATGTCGGTGCTGCTGCGTCTGTCGATTGCCCTTCCAAAGGCGTGTGCGTGCCTGTACCCGGTTTGGAGACTGGTCTTGATGGCACTGTTTGGTTGTCGCGCGTCAGACGCAGAGATGTGATTATCACGTGTGGAACCCGATATGTCTTGTGCAGCACTTGGATGGCGGCTGCAAGAGACTTGAGGTCCGTGATGGGCGTCTCTGAGAGTAGTCTACATCTTCTGTTAACAACCCCTACGTCAAGTTCCACTGCACAGGCACACGTACTCTGCCTCGAACTGGTTGGGTAGGATGAGGTCTGCCTCGCGTAGCAATGCCTTGTACTCTGGCACTTCATCCTCGGGAATGTATAGCTTGCCGTTGTCTCCCATGACCGGGTCAAGCACTGCCCTTGTCAGCCCTCCTTCTACATGATCGTTTCAAATGTTTTGTACCCCAGAAAAAGCTGCCTGGCTTCGTGCCCGCATTGAACTTGATATCCCTCCCAATAGTTCCTATCGCTTGTACCGCCTCGGCGCTCGGCACATATCCCGTCAGGAGCACGTCAAAGTTGCTGAGGTTCGACTGACGGAGGCCTTCGTAGAGCTCGAGAATCTCAGCCGCTGACGTCTTTGTGCCCTTGGTCTGCTTGTACGCCGTGTGATTGCCTGTTCGTTAGCCATGGCACATGGTAGGTTCGACGCTTCTAGAACCCTACTGTAGTGTACCGTGTTGATCGCGGACACATCGCAACCTAGCGACTGCATGACAAACGTTGCCATTTTATTGCCGACATAGCTCAGCTCAAAGTCAGCTGCATGCGCAAACCATTATGCTGCGCGACTCACCCGTGTACCACCTGTCGCGTGTTAGCTCAAATATGCCTTTACGCGGTGAGTCTTACGTGGCTGGCGATGGCAAGTACTCGCGTGTCGGGAATCAGAGTGTCAGAGGCCATGTTTGCGCAAAATCTCGTCAACTAGTCAACAGGTACAAAGGAACAGCAAGAATGCGCAGGCGGGGTGTGTTGTTGATGTACTGTTGATTTCCCTATCTGAAATTCCGCGGGATATGACGCACATCCAATGGTGGGGCGGTACTTAACCTTCCTTTGTGACCGAGGCGCAGAAGACCAATTAGAAATGGCCGTTCTCGCGAATGTGACACGCCAAAATCATGAAGCTAACAGACGCTCGACGCATGCAAAAGTCATTACACCAGAGATTCTCCACATCTATCCTGAAAACATGCCGCTCGTGTGTCAATGAAATCGTGGTCCGCTTATTCCTCGTCGCCAATCTGTGTGCATTAGCATGGCGGCTGTACGGTATGCAAAGGCTTCTTACCTTGGGAGCGAGGTAGAATCGAAGGTAGCTTTGGTCCTGCAGGCTGTACTCGACAAGCAGAGGGACTTCGCTGGATAGGCAGAGCTTGACCGAATCGGAGAGACCGCTGGCCTTGCAGAAGTTGGTCAGGTACTTGAGCGAAAAGGTAAGCGCAACAGGCTCCGTCATGTCGATTGTGACAGCCTCGGATTCCTTGTCTATGCTGGGGTTTTGCTTGAGGATGACCGAGCCCGAGCCAATGTCGCCCGAGCAGGCAAACTTGACGCCGTCTTTTGAAACCTCGATTGAGACTGTGCCCCGTATTAGCCCTGCGAACAGTGTTTGCCCGTGTTTTTGCAGCTCGTGTGACATACCCGACTCTGACAATGCGCCCAAATCTCTGCAGATGCGCTGGAACTCGACAGCTGGCATGGTAATGGTGGCCGAGTAGTCCGTCTCGGGGATACCCAGATGCTCCTGGTCAATGTCCATGAGCTTGATGTCGTACTCGCTGATTCGCGAGCTGCTCTTTGTCTCAAAGACGAGGTTGACGACATCGGGGGCGTCTTCGGCCTTGATGGTGAGGATGTCTTCGTTTCCAGCCGCGCGAAGCACCTTTGTGAGGGAGCCAAGGTTGATACCGAGGGCAATGTTGCGGTCGCAGCGGAAGGGCGAAAAGGCTTCCGACTTGAGCATCATGGACACGAGGGCGACGTGGGAGTTGTCCATGGCCTGCAGGGCAATGCCCATGTCATTGCAGTCGAAGTTGCAGTCTTGGACGAGATCCTTGATGGCATCGACAACCTAGTGCGGTCAGAAGGGGTTCTGCTATGTTTTTGTGGGAAATATACCTTCTTCAAGGTGTTTGCCTGTTCTAAGCGTGCCTCAAGCACTGCACCTTGTTAGCTTTGTTCAATCAGCATGAGCGAGGGTGTTTACTTTTGGGTGTGGATTGTGATTAAGAGAGTAAGTAGCGTTGAAAGGGTATCGTAACGTGGTTGTGCAAGAAAACAATTGCTCAGCGGTGTAAAGGCAACAATGAATGGAGGGGACCTCAACGCGGGAGCGCGTCGGAACACGCTAAAATCTGCACAGATCACTGCAACGTAGAGTGGTGCCAAGAGTATCACACGCCATGACGAATGCAGCATGGGGGTGTATTACGACCCTTGCTATCATTTTCAGGCCAGACTGTTCAGCCTTGAATGGATGACAATGATGTCCTTTTTTGTATGATGACGAGAGCACGAGGCGATCAAGCTTTGAGTTGAGCTTCAAGATGAAGAGTTTGGATGCTCAATTGGACGGGTATCATGCCGGGGAAAGTAGACGTGACACTTCATGTCACCAAGCTATGCTGCAGCCGTTATGCTGGCCTCCCGGGAGGTGCGTGTATCCTCTCGTCTCCAGCGGCAGCTCTGGTATTCCCATTCGACCCAATTCCACCTGGGCTTTGCTCTACGGCATCTCCATGTTACTAGAGTATTTTCCTCCCATGAGCTGTCTTGTCCGACACAATGATTCCTCGCCATCAGGCAACCTCTCTTCAACTGCCGCCGTATCGCTTTCCCAGCCAACTCGTTATGCCCGCACCAAGCCATAGAACAAAGTCCATGTCAGGACGAAGCCGCTCAAGCCCCCAAAGACATCGCCGAGCCACAAATCGCCTAGCGGACGGTAAAAGTAGACGCTGGGCTTCCCCTCCGTCTTGAGCGCAAACAGCAGCGCCGAGACGACTAGCGATGCAAGTAGGTAGAAGACGAAGCCGGCGTATGACTCGAGGCCCAGTGTGCCAGCGGCGACGCCGAAGAGCGATGCGGTCAGACTGCGAATGTTGGAGACGACCTGTGGCGAGCGTAAGTCTATGACTGTGCCGAGTGGGGGCGGAGGCAAGGTAGAGTAGTGAGTGGTGTAGGCGGACATACCTGAGTGTTGTGCTGAACGCTAGTCGCCACAATGGGATGAATAGCGAGTTCGCGCTCCTCAGTCAGCGCATCGGCAGCCATGGCAACGACAGGTGGTGTGCGGTGGCCCTCAATAAACCGGACGGACGGGCTCAACAATGTGGTCTGGTCCGAAATGTTACGGACGTACACACCCTACACGGACGGACGAGACGCAGCTGTGAGTGTGTGTTCGGCCGAAAGAATCCGAAAGCCGAAGAAAGTTGTGCGAGTGGGCGACAACGATGCGACAAAGGCTACTGTTCGCAGTGTCTTGGATATTTTTGGGGGGGGGCGGGGGGATTGTCGCACGACAAGCGGTTCCCCGTGCAGTAACGCTATTGTGTCGGCTGTCGTGGGCCTGGGCTGGGATGGAGAGGGGAGGGTTCAGTTGGCGCTGTCGGGTCGGTTGCTGGCACCCCCGACGCTGCACCATCTGGTACGCGGGTCCGTGCGCGGATCCTAGCCAGCTTACTGTAGGCCAGGGTAGCAGAGACGACTACATGTCGTTGTTGGAACAGCCGCAACATGGTACGATGGCAAGCAAACGCAGTCGGTTACAGAAGCATTATTCGCAGACAGTCTCCATCGGCAATGAAGACGCCCTCTATCAACTCTATGTAGCATGTTTGCAGCCACGACTCAAGCATCATGGTAAAGAAGACCGTATTCGTCAAGATACCTCGTCCCATTAGCCTTTGATTTCCTCACAGCAGGTTGGCTCACTGTTGCAAGTGTACAGGCAATGCATAGCCGTCGAGGTCAGTAGCCGAGCGAAGGTGAGCCATGGCGTGGCGAAAGTAGCGCGTGTGGACCCTGGGCGATGTGACATTGCCAAGGCTCATGAAAGCCTCAGCAGCCTGGATGTCGGGGTCAGCAATAGGAAAGAGAAAAGAAGATGTTGAGGGAAGAGGGCCGCGTACGAGCGAGAGCAAAGCCCTATTCAGGCTCCCCTGTGCTTTTGCGGCGCCCACTGCACGCTCAAGGTAGTCGATGGCAGGGAGCAACAGGGCCCGTGCCTCGACATAGTGGGCTCCGTTCAATCGCTCCTGCGCCTCGAATAGAGGAGAGGCAGCCAGCTGGGCGTGGTGCAACTGGCCTGTATCCATGCTACAAGGGCCGTTTTCCGCTTGTGCGATGCTTGCTAGTGCCTTTTGCGCGCGCAACAACCAATTTCGGCCCATCACCGCGACAGTCAGCCAGCGTACAGCAGCGAGGGTGCGAGGATGACTTACAGGCCAGAATCTCGACATTGTTGGGATAGACGGGCAACAGCGTCAGCAATTGCCGCAAACACCAGTCGGCCATGTCCGTGGTTGGGCCGTGATCCGCATCGGCAAACGCTACACGTTGCGCCAGGCGAATCAAAGGCAGCTGCCAGCGTCGACGAGCGTCGTCGGGTCTTGTATCAGTGATTTCAAAGACGGCGGTTATACTGCGGATGGCCTCGAGGTGTTGGGGCCACGAGTCGGGTGCAGTGTCAAGGCTTGCCTCTACCGACTGGACAGTCGTCATCAGCGTGTGAAGCGTCTGGGGATCCATGAGTAGGACGGTGTGAAGAGTGCGTTTATTTTTTTCAGAAAAAATAATGACAAGAATTTGGACAATCTTGCACAAGCAGAAGCGGACAAACTATTGAAAAAGATGAAAAAGAAAGCCAGGCATGATGTATTGTAATGAACCGGTGAGCAGGGAGAAAAAAAAAAGGCTTTTGGCATGGTGCTCTGGCGACATTTGCCAGATGCAATGCAGGCAGATTCAGAGACCAAGTTGAGGATTTGGCATATGACTAGGATTCCGAGTGCAGGGTGGATGGAATGTGGTTGGGGCGGTGAGGTCACCATCATGGCGATGAGTGTTGGGGGGCGTCGTACGAGCAGGCGGTATGCAGGTGCGATGGCGCATTATGGCGCACATGGTGTTTGCAGCCACGATAGTGGAGCGGAAGGACGCGGCAGCGGGTGGCAAGGGCGGTTTGTAAGGTGGCTCGAAGCTTCTGAGGTGGATGTAGTAGTAGTAGTAGTAGTAGTAGGTGTAGGTGTAGGCAGGCAGGCAGCGTCGAGCGTGGGGAGTCTTGGGTGGTGGCAGGACAGGTTGGGCTGGGGCGGTCAACGTGGGCGGGTGGGTAAGCAAGCAGGGATGCCACGAGGCTGATGGGACGCCACTGGTTTGCACCGGCACTGGCCAGAGTACCTGCATGCTGCTGGCTGCACGCCGCACTTATTGTTTCTGATATTCATGCAGCCCTACGTTATCGATTGTGCTATCGATTGGCGACGCAACACGCACGGCGGCAGTGCAGCAGCAGCAGCAGCAAGAGCGGCGGCGTCGCAGGTGGGCGGGGCCGGATGTGTTCTCGGCCAGCCTGAGAGTCAGAGGGCCATGTAGCTGGGGGCTGTCCGGAGCGGGTAGTGGCAGCAGCCGCGGGTCGGCGGGCGGGCTCAGGGGCACATGGGGCAGTACAAGTCGACATAGGGGACGTGTTGCGAGATGGTGTTTGCGGCTCAACGCATGGATGGAGGGCGGCGGAGGCCAGGGTAGGGCTAAGTATGTGTATGAGTATGTGCGTGCCTGCGCCTCAGGCAACGCGCAGCCGACCAGGGCAGCAGAGGTGGATGCGCTCTGCTTGCGCTTGTGCGTGCGAGGGGGAAACGGGCCAAACGAAACAGGGCTCGCGTACACGAGGCGTGACACGAGGCGGCCGCCAATCACAGGGCGCGCGCCTCCGCAGCCCTCGCTCATTTCGCGCCGCCCGAGCGCGGCTGGCGTCACTCAGCCAGAGTGAGGGTGAGAGTGCCATGGCAATTGTGGATGTGTCCGTGTCTGTTTCCACATACATGGCGACTTGCGACGTATGACCATTGCTTGCTGCTAGTCCGAGCTGGCTGCTGACTACTGGCCCTCCTTTCTGCTCTGCTCTGCTCTGCTCTGCTCTGCTCTGCTCTGCTCTGCTCTGCTCTGCTCTGCTGTGCTCCCCTTTGCCCTTAACCTCTGCTCCCCCTCGCGCTCGCTCCCCTCCCACACCTCGGCCCTGCATCCTCGCCCCTCGTCCGTCCATCATCTCGACACCCGCCACGATTGGATCCCGCCCACACCACGCGCCCTCGCCTGCGCCTGCGCCTGCGCCCGCGCCCGCACACGCCGCTCCTCGCCTGCCCGCCATCGCCATATCACCTGCCCTGCCCGGATTAGAGCCATCGCACCCGTCCACGCGCCCGTCTCCAGACCACCCGACGTCTGCATCCCCAACATGCCGTAGCACCATGGAGAGTATTATACCCGACGACTCGCCCCTCGCCCACGTCCTCCAAGGTGCGCCCAGAGCCCATGCCCATGATGCCCACGATGCATCTCCTCCACCTCCTCCACCCGCTAACCGCTCCGCTAGGCCACGGAACCGCCGACGCCCACGCCCCGGACCCGTCTGCGCTCCCCCAAACTCATGTAGACGACGTCGACACACCGGGCTTCGCCCCCAGAGGCCCCTCGACGCTGCAGTCGCGCATAAGAGACAAGCTCCCCCAGCCGCTGCGCATCCACTCGCGCAACGGCTCCATTGCCCGCATCCACACCGTCTGCTCGGTATCCTTCCCCGCCCTGCCATTGCCATGCCGTGACTCAACCCTGACCCGCCCGCAGAAAGCCGTCAACTCCAAGCTCGGCCGCGCCGACAACGAGCGCTTCCTCGAGCACTTCCGCTACCTCATTGTCGCCTCCCAGCTGCTCGGCGACCAGGGCAGCCTGCGCGCTTCCTCGATACCCATCTTTGCCCCCAACGGGCGAGCCGGCTTCCATGAGTTCCAGGTCGCCTCCATCACCCCGGCCGGCGCTGCGCTGACGGGCGGCACCGCCTTTGTCCTGGTATGGCTGGTCCACTGGTCCCGCCGCCAGCCCACCTTCAGCGTCGGGCGCTCTTCGTTTGTGCTGCTCGCCTTTGCTGCCGCTGCCGCCGCAGTCTACCGCTACATGCGCCGCCAGTGGCTGCAGTATCTGCGCCACGAGGCAGTCGACGGCGTCGCTGCTCTCGTGACCAACCTGCAGGCATTCGAGGCTTCGGCCGCGTCTGCGCTGGCTCTGATCCAGGAAGTAGAGCTCGTGTCACGAGGCTACAGGCTGTAGGTTCACATGTGTCCGACTACGTCCATCACATGCCATCGGCTAATTCCCCATAGAAGCTGTCCTCTGCCCCCCATCTCGCGCATCGAGGAAAGGGGTCAGGCCCGCCGTTGTCAACGCCTGCGCCGCAATCTGCGCGCCGCCTACGCCGACGTGGTCCCTATCCTCTCCGAGCAGTGTGGCGTTTTGAAGCCTCTGATCCAGGAAGATGACTTGGAAAAGTACCTCGATGTCTACGAAATCAGCAATCCAGACCTGCAAGAGGCGGCGCTGAGTTACAGTCCATCCGAATTCGAAGACGCAGAGACGCTCAAGGCCCTGCGCACTCTGCAGTATCGTTTATCCATTCTTCGCCGCGTCTACCTGTGCTCTTTGCTGGCCATGGAGGCAGATGGCGGAACCTCGGATTTCCCGCGCTGGTCGACCGTGGTGGACTCGATGTTGTTTACCGCACGTCCGGTAGGACAATGGACAGACAAGTTTAATCGTGTGCTATCCGAGGAGGAGCAGTTTGTCCCCCCTTCGCCAGCAAAGGTAGCGCCGACGCCTGGGCGCGAAAAGATCCGGAACTCGGTGCGGAAACTGTCGGGCCTGTCGAGCGGCATTCGGGGTTTGCAGGCCAAGATGCAGGTACTGCGCGAAGAGACCAACAAGAGCTTGGAAGACACGGAAGATGTTAGCGACCTGGCCCATTCTCTCATGGCGCAATACGAGTCCATTGGCGCCGATCTCAAGAGTTTAGTGCAGGCCTGGGAAGCAGGAAAGAATGCGCTTGCGCTCAACATTGACCGACAAGAGCGCAGGATTTCACAGGCGTCGAGCGGTCTGCGCTCCCCAGTTCCAAGCCTAGGCGGCCTGACTGCTGTGGACGAAGGCAGTCCGTCTGATGCTCTGCGCGCTCTTAATGGTGACTTGCTGAGTCCTCAGCAGAGTGCACCGTCGAGCGATCAGGGCAGCACATCCGACGACGAAGTATTCGAAGCCATTGCAATACCAAAGACGCGCGGTACCATGTCGAGAGAAGAGCGCATGCAAAAGATCCAGGACGACCGCATTCGCCAGGCTTCGCTACGTGAATCACGAGAGGCAAACACCAACATGCTCAGAGAGCTCGAGTCGGTCATCAACATGAGACCGCATCGCCAATCTGCGCCCGGCACACGAGGCACAAGTCTCTAAGCCGCCTCCCATCCCTTTCCTTGTGTATATTTCCAAACTAATGACAGTCGCCAGATACCGCATTTCCTTTCTCTTTCCTTATTTCCTTTTCCTTTTCCTTGTCCTTGTCCTTGTTCCTTCATGGCGTGCATCTCAGTTCTAAGCTTGATCTTGGGCATTTACGCGATACCACCGCCGCCGTCTCATTCACTATTTTCCTTTTCCTTCTTCTTTCCTTTTCCTTTTCTTCCTCTTCAATTCCTGGAGTCAAAGGCAATCATGTATATATGCATACCTAGAGGCGGTCCAAAAAACAAAGACCCGTTCAAGACAGTCATGACGTCTGCGCAACATTTTACCGTCTTTTTTTTTGCATTTTTGATTGTTTGAGTGTGCATAGTTTTGATGTTGTGGATAGCGAAACGCTTGATAAGACCAAGGATGACTTGAAAGCAGGTACATTAGCATATGATAAGATGCAGGCAAATCCGCTAAACACCATATCCATCCATCTTCGTGTACAACAATAACCAAAAAGAAGAAGAAGAAGAAGAAGAAGAAATCACCAGACTTTCAGCTATTCTACACACTCCCAAATCAAACCCCACTCACTCACTCACTCACTCACTCGTCCACCCACAAAAAACGCCCCATGCCGCCGCCGCATATGCACCCTCAACCCATCCGACCGCGCATACACGCGCCCACACCCCGCCATCCGACACGCATACTCTTGCTTTGTGCGTCGAGATCCCCGGCACGCTTGCGTCTTGACGTGTCGTGTCAAGTTGCCCACGGCGTGCATGCCGGTTAGAATGGTGCCGCAGTGGTAGGGGCAGGGGATGGTGTTGGTGTTGTTGTCGTTGGTATTGTTAAGTCGGTGTGTGATGGATGGTAAGTGAGGAGTTGAGGGGTAAGTAGTCTGAGTCTGAGTCTGAGTATGGGTGTAAGAGTGTGTTGTAGAAGAGAAAGAGGAAGAGAGAGGGACACTGCGGCTATGGCTGTGACTGTGACTGTGACTGTGACTAGATGGTATGTTAGCTATCCATGCATTCCACACACGATACTCGAAAAGTAAGAACCAAGAGAGAGAAAGAGGTATATCAACACACCGCATCCCTTCCACCATCCACCCTTCACAATAACAACAACACTACCACCACCACCACCACTCCTACTATTTCTCCTCGCAAAATCCCTCAACCATCCACACAATACGATATTGAAGTCCTACTACTACTACTTTTTCTTTTCTCTCTCTCTACTGCAGACCCAAACCATTAGAACCCCTCTCTCTTTTCCATCGCATCCTCTGTTTTTTTGTTTTTTTTTTCCACTGAAAATGGTGGGCAAAGAAAATAATGGAAAAAAAGGGGAAAAAGAAGGAGAATAAGATGCAAAAATAGAATACGAGACGTACCTCGTATCTGCAACATGCATGGACATTGACATGGACGTTGACATTGGTATGGACATTGGTATTGGTATGGATATCGGTATCGGCATCGGCATCGGCATCGCTGCGTACGCATACATCTCACTGCTGGTATACTGCTGTTCTAATACTTCTGTCGTTGCGCTGCCGTGTCCGTGTCCGTGTCCGTGTCCGTGGCTGTGGCTGTTTCTCTGTCCATGGCCGTGTGTATGTAGTATGGTTTGCACTGGTGCTTGTGCTTGTGCTTGTGCTGGTACATAGTGATGATGTTGTTCGAAAATTGCATTCTGATGCTGGGCAACCCACACGTCATAAGCATGGCTTGTTTGCGCATCCCACGGGTGGCTGTAGATGTCTTGGGTTGGAGATACGGGGGAGTGGATGGATGGGGGTGCTGCTGGATATGGAGAGGAGGAGGAGGAGGAGGAGGGGGTAGGTTTGGTGCGAGGGGGATGGGAGTATGCCATAAATGAGATTCTTCTTCTTCTTTTCTTCTTTTTCCAGTGCCTTCTCCGTCCTTTGGCACCCGTATCCAAAGCCCCGTGGGTAGTTCGACTTCTGCAGCCGAGCGAGAAACCGGGGGTCCAAGTGCTGTGATAAAAGCGGCTACTAGAAAAGATCAAACTTTTCCCCACGCATCGGCATCGCGCTAAAAGTCAAAGGGGGCAAGCCATTGTGTGACGCTCGTCTAAGCTGACTATGGCGCTTACACCAATGAGCATATATGCTTGGATTGGCGCATGCGGCGCAGTGCATGAGAGTGCAGTTTGAGAGGGGCTTGTGTATGCTGGTTTTCTGCGGTGCGGAGGGTATGGAGGGGATGGCAGGACGGGGTAGGGCGGGTATTGAAAGGGTTGCTTGATGGAATTTGGGGTGGTGCTCTTATTGTGAGTGTGGTTAGCGATGTCTGTAAGTATGTTCTGCTTTGCAAGTACTGCATGTACTGCTGGAAGAATCAAAGGGCATTAACATGGCTGAGGGGTACCAGAGCTTTGTCCGTTGAAATGATTCTATCTTCCTTTTCTTCAACTGCCCACCAGTACTCAGTCGTCTGCGCATCTAGCAGGTATCTAACCAGCAATGACCCCTCAAGCCCCTCAGCCACTTCCCCATCATTCGATACCAAAACTGACACCGCAATATACTCCATATTCCATGAGTCCACATACCAATTCCAATGACGTCAAGCCCCAGCCCCAGCCCTTGCACTCCGTCCATCTCCTCCCAAAACCGCCAACCATACCACGGCGATTGCCAAGGGGGCCTTCCTATCCAGCCCCCCATACCTTAGCTTAAGTGCCCAGTCGAAGCCCATGTACCCGGTAAGCGCGGAATCTAAACCAACCGGGACGGCTCGCGGCGGCACCGCCACCTTACGATACCCACCGGTTATTACTAGACCAGGGCTCAGCGGCTTGGAACAGGCTTACCGGAACTCTGGCCTTTCCGAACCGTGCCGAGCAGTCAGTATCAGACCCCGGGCCGAAACCGCTGGTTTGGAGTTTGAGCGAGGGCTGCGCGCGGCTGGTGGGCGTTTGCATGGGGCGTGGACCCGGCGGAGTGGAACAAAGGGAAATGCGGAGTTAGGGGGCGGTGCTTAGGCACTGCGGTCCGGGGATACATGTATCGTGCGAGGAAGGGGTTTCGTCGTGTATTTGGAGCTTTATTCGTCCGTGGAGTGAGTGGTGGGTAGCACCGATGAGCTGCAGTGCTGTGCTGTCCACGTGTGCTAGTTCAAGTGAGCTTTGTTGTGAAGTGCATCGACTAGCGGGTTGCTTGTCTAGACGAGAGTAATGGATGACAGGATGAGGGTGGGGAAGCTCATTAGTTTATTCATGTTGTATTAAAAAGATAAGCGAAAGGTGGAAATAGATCCCTACTGAGTAATTGGCGCTGTCTAACCACATGTGAACCCGGCGGGTGGTAGAAAGTTGTTAATTTGTTGATGTATTATTAGTTATGCCATGGCACCCCCTCCGATTCGCATAAATATTTAGAGGGTAGATTCTTACCAGCGCCTCCGACAGGACCTAGTACCGTGGGACTATAGGCTGTAATTACGTTTATGTGACTGTAACGTAGTACGTCCTATTACAGCTGTAACGTAGCTGTAATTTTAATATCAACTATAGCTACTTATACTATAGCGATCGCTATATTTGTAGCGCACTCTATCCGTACTTTACTCTTACTACGGAACTACAATCCATACCGCAGTCTAAAAACCTCACCGTACTACTAGTACAGTACGTTGGACACGCTGCATGCATGGATTCAAGGAAGAGCTAGGGCTGGATGGTGATAAGGAGGCTAAATTTAATGGGTAGAGATAGCTAGTGCAAGTTCATGCATGCTAGAACAACTGCGCCGAGACTTGGACAAAAGCCGGCCATTCCCTGGGCATTGTAGAAAGCTTTGACGAAGTGTGTCTAGACTAATTTCCCTTACGGTCCTTAATCTAGAAGTGCAACTTGTAGGTACATATTACTCGTTGTTTGAAAGGTATTAGTAACAACGTCCGGTGTTTAGGATCGCAGGATGAAGTTATGCAGGCAACAGTCGCAGAGAAACGCACCGAAAATTCATGTGAGCTTACTATATCGAGATTGCTTGGTTCGGTATCGGACACGAGAGATGAGGGATGCGTTGGTGAGACAGATACAGTCTAGAACTGATCGGCTGAATTAAATCTATCTCGTTCGCAGATACTGCCGAAGAAGGACCATAGTATCAAATGCCTCTAATGCTCGCCAGACGGTTCACGATCCTTGAAGAGAACTCACTGTGAGCACCGAACTCGTCTAAACCAGCAGCAATTTCTTCAAAGGTAAGACAGGCGACAATGCTATCTGCGAAGCTCTGCCCGCAAACATGCGGACCCTCCGTCCGCAGTCTCCCCAGAAGCTCATCTCTGATCTTTGTGGGCACCAGGGTTCTGCCAGGGCTAGACTTCATCTCCGGGAACCCTATTATCGGTTTCCAATAAGCCAGCTCCAGTAATATGATTCCCTTGCTAGAAGTTAGCCTGACTCCATGTGCATTCAATGTAACTTTGTACCCACAAGAGAGTAGATATCGTGCGATTTCTTGAACTTGATGAGTGGCTTGCCCCATCGCTCAGGATGTCTATATGCATTGTTACTTAGAGAATGATCCTCTTGCAAAAGTGTACTGTCGTCCTCGGGACGTGAGTATTCGAATCCAAACAGCCACGGCTGGTCCAACACGGTGGCTGCATCCGCGTCCGCATCGGGCGGAAGAAAAACAATGTTGTCACTCTTCAGTGATTTGTGCACCCATCCGACTTTGTGGAAACTCTCTAGCGCCTTTGCAAGGCTAGCTGCTAATTTTACACGCACTCCCAGTGCAACTCTCTTCTGCTTGGACATATATTTCGAAAGCATCAATGGCGTGCCGAATTTGCGGGTTGAGGTTCCGGAAATGTTCATCTGTGAGATTTGCGTGTCGAAAGAATCCCAGACCACCTCGAAGATGAGCGACAGAGTCTTGCTGGCCCAATCGTGTGTGTATCCTAAGCAGGGAAGAATGTGGAAATTCTCTTGCTTGGGATGGCATAATAGCGCTACCATCTTCCTGAACTGCGTCATCATGTGAGGTGGGGGTTCGTTCGAGGTAGCTGTAGTAAGGTGCTGGTAATTGAATATCTCGGCGACAATCGGACGTCCTTTGATGTTTCCCGTACGCAATCGAGACTGTCCGTCTCCTTTGCCACGTTTATCCCAAGTGATCAACCCACGTGGAAGATCCAGTCGATCAGGTATTGACGCGGAGCTCAGAAGCCGCTGCCGTAAACTGATGACTTGATCAACTTCACAAGCCGCAACGACTGAGTCGTCTTGAGCTGCTGTGAGGTCTATGTTGGAATCCAGTAAGATGCCCTTCTCGACACTCTCGGAAACCTCGGCCACCTTGCTGTTCAGATTTTGCAGAGTCGTGGCTCTTAGATCTCCAGGTATATCGGCTAGTGCTACCTCTGCCTGTGTCAATACTTTGCTCTTCTTCATAACGTTTGAGAGCTCTGACATCCGATCGATAATCTCAGCTTGGGCAGAAGGGGAAACCTTTCCGAGGATGGAGCCTTGTAATGGATGGTGTTTCTCATTCAATCCTTCGAGAAATCGTGCCCGGAGTATTAGCGCCTCGATGTTCACCTCACTGACGGTATTTGGGGGATAGCTCTTAAGCCAATCTGCTAGTTGATGTGCTGTTGGGTCTTCTGTAAATGATATGGAAAGGAGAGCAAAGGATGAGGCGGCGGGCTGTTTCTGTGCGAAACCCGGAGCAATCTTCGCCGTTAAAGGTGCCAACCTGATCGTAGGAAGGTCTCGCTTCACCAATGTAAAATATTGCGGTGATTCTCGAACGGAATTAGCATTCATAAGTTTGGTGAGAGAAAATTGCTGTTTACCGGTGAGTGCTGGCGGAGTTGAAGCACTCCAGAGATGCGTTTGCAGCCAGCGGATTGGTACGTCTTTACCAGCATCAATCTGCTTCTTCAGCTCTCTGATGAGAACTGAAGTAAACGACAATCTTCCTGGCTTCGGCACTCTCGACCCAGAGCTCGATGCAGCCAGAATCTCGAATTGACCGTTCTCGAATTCTCGGGATATCTTGGTTGCAGCATAGCAGCAGTCCAAGAGTACAAATACATCGCTGTGTGCATTTCCAAGCTGTCTCTGAAGCGGAAACCATTCAACAGTCGGCCCATTCTCTAGCTTGCTGTGTGACACGGTTATGGACATGTGTGGCTGAGGGAATCGACGGACTCACGCTCTCCAGGCCGGGTACCCGGCCTCATCGACCACGGTGTTATCTCCATGCCCTCCATAATACACAATAGCTAAATCACGTTCGCCTAGGGCACATTCCCTGACGAAGGAAGTCAATCTATGCGATAACTCAGCCTCCGAATTAATGCTTGGTATGTGGTATCGCTGGGTGCTGTATCTCAAGTGCTGCTCAAGTAGCACCTTGAGCCGGTCAATCTCGGAAGCCACTCCCAATTCGTCATCAGCCCATGAGATCAGAAGCGCAGTCACCCTTTCGTATTGCTGAGTAGTCCAGTATCCACGCGTCCGTTGCTGGAAGTCATCGATGATCTGCTCTTCCGAGGCATCGCTCATTGCGGCGTCATTCAATAGCCCTCACAAGTTGTTGACGCTGACGCCTCTCAAGGCGGTATGTTATGTTAAGTGCAGATGTATGTCCCGAGCTGGCGTATGTTGTCGAGTGACACAAAGTGCGGGGCCCGCATGGAATGAGGCAACGAGGCAATCCTATATTACAAGCCACCCACGTGATCTCAGCAGGTCATTGATAAGACGCGCAGCCCTCGCTTCGGGCTTTTTGATTCATTCAGAAGTTTTCAAATACGAATATTGATATCCGAGGTGAAGCCAGATGGCATCCAAGAAGGAAGAGTTCGGGCCTACAAATCCACCTGGGAACGATGAAAGTAGCGATGAAGAGGAAACTACGGTCTGAGCCTTGCACGGTAATCTCATTTCCCAAAAGAGGCTAAGACGCGCAGTTCAATCCATCTGCTCCCGGGGACTTCCGTGGAAAGGTTACGAAGTATTCTACCGCTACACAGGTAAATTATATCGATTATTTGACTCTTACTACCTGCGATACCTGATGCGTCTAGGAGTATCCCACCCCTCCAGCATACAACGTAGGCGAAGAAGTCTTCCTCCTCATCCCCGGTCAGGCGCAACCAGCAGGCCCGTACGAAGTTATGCAATCTCTAGATGGAAAGCTGTACCGCATCAAGACCAAAGATACTGGGCAGGAACACGGTTCGCTCGTAAGAGAAAGTGACTTGGTGTACAAGGTTTAGGCTTGATTCCGAGCATCTTCGACATTTAAGCCGAGTGGCTATCAAACAATAGTGTCATCATTTCTTGGACGTAGTCGTGGATGTTAGGAGAAACAATCAAATAGTCTTCTCTCGTCCTCCGATAGAACTCGGTCAAGCAGTCCAATGCTGTGCGCCCCTCGTTGTCTTTGATGTTGCGATCTGCACCGAGATCAAGTAAAGCTTCAACCGCTTTTGGTGCCCCAGACATGGCGGCCACATGGAGGGCGGTGCCTAATTGTGGGCTCACTGCGTTGAGAAGTGAGGGTTGGTGTTCAAACGCGCGGTACCAGATGTCAGATTGAGGGCCTTCCAGCAAGAACACCAGAAAGGCCTCCTCCTGCGGTAGCGACATGAGAGCTTCCATATGTTCGAGTATCGGTTTCTGGGTCTGAAATGTCGTCTCTACAGCCCGTATGCTTACGGCGAGATGCAATAAGGTTGGTGCCGGGTTATCATTGGTACTTCCAAGCCATGGGTCCCCTCCCTGATCGAGCATCTGTAACTAGTTAGTCACTGGCGTTTAGAGAGTAGAATACTAATATCGTACCCAGGCGAGAAGGTCCCCTCGTTTAGCTTTGAGGAGTAACCCAAGCGGGTTATAATAGAGGCAATCGGTGTCCAAGACCGCCTCGCGACGTGGCATGTTCACGTCCGCCCCGTTCTGCACCAGAAGTTGGACACATTCATCAGAGGCCCATTCGCATGCGATATGCAATGCGGTGTTGCCCATTCTGTTGAGAACGTCAATGCTGATGTCTGGATGCGCGAGGATATGCTTGATGACTGCTAATGCGTCCTTCTTCGCACTCTCGTGGAGGATGGTCTGCCCGTTCGCTTGCGCAATTTTGTGGCCGGGCATGTCTGCCCACGGAAGTTTTGGATGTTCGTAGAGCATCTTGAATGCCGTATCATTCAGGTGATCGTTCATAGCCGAATGTATCGCACTAAACAGTACATCAACGGTGATCGGTTTTCTCATGGAAACGGTCTTTTCTAGCAGACATCCGAGCAAATCTACATCGGTCCTGGGGTTTGCTGCGGCCAGACCTAGGGGCGTATAGCTAATTTTGTAGGCCTGTAGGTTCGCGTAAGCCTGTTCGTCTTCTTCATCGATCAATGCACCGTGTGATAGCAACAGATCAATTGTAGAATTGATGGCACCAATATAGCCCGAACCATGTATCATCCACTAAGCACGTTCAATTAGTCTGTGGCTCTCGAGAAGTTTGATAGGAAGAGAGATCGTTATACCTTAGCGTGTATGGAAGCATAGGAGGCTAGACCAAGTTGATGCAGCGGAGACGACCTGCTGAACCAGTGCTTCGTAGCACTAGCACCGTACCTGATAAGAAGCCCACATATCTCAGGGAGACAGAGCGATGCCGCCAGATCCAAACTGCTAAGCCAAGGACAGCGGGCGTTTGGATCCGCGCCCAGCTTAAGGAGAGTCTCAACAGCAGTGAAGTTACGGATGCCTACTGCAAAGTGAAGCGGAGTCCCAGAAAGCAAGACGCCGTACCAGGGGCTTCCCCAGCAGAAATTCGGTCTCGTCCGCGCCATTACGGAACCTCCGGCTTCCAGAAGCCGACTCGCTATCCTCGGTATTTCTTCGCGTGGAAAAAAGGCAAGTAGATGTAAAGGGGATGTGATGGAATCATCAGTAAGTGATGCTTTGGCCCCGTTATCCAGCAGGAGTAATGCCATTTCAACGCTTCCTATAGAACATGCTTCAAATAAGGCAGTGCGGTCCTCTTCATCTATTGAGTTGACGTCGTAACCTCGATCTAGAAGAGTTTGCGCCAATCTTGTATTGTTCGTCGATGCAGCGAAGTGAAGTGGGCCCTGCAGATATGTGCCTCTTATTGCAAGAACCTCGAGGGTATTTGGCACAGATGCGCAACCATCCTCAACCGCTTCGTGAACATCCATAGGGGAGAACTCCCGAGTATTTGACGAAATTCTAATACCTTGGACCGATTGGACACGCTTTGCTACAGCCGCAACCTGGTATTCGCGAATAGACTCTGAGAACGAATATGTGTCCATTTCGGGTTCGGGATCATAGATCGTTGCGGATCGCAGTCGACTGACAATTAATTCCTTCAGCGCAGAGTCGCGCAGTTGAGAGAAGGGTTCAGACGCTAATTCGGGCGCAAAACTGACCCCATATCCATATGCGTAGCATTCGGAAAGGTTTAATAAGCGGTGCGATGCGTCGCTTTCTGGCGTGGAGTGGCAATACTCTACGACCGACTTTCCGAACATATGTGGATAAGAAATGTCGACATCATGAACTGGTTGTAAGATTGAGTGCAGCCCATCAAAGACAGATTCTTTCATCGGCCATGGACATATTACTGATATGAGCTGGTCTTGATCAAATCAGGCTCTTTTGTGGATTGATGTTACTTACACTTTCAATATTCCAGGATAGGTATTGATCTTGCGCGCTTCTCGAAAAAGATGGTTCAAAGTTGGCTATTGGATGGTGGAAGTCTCTGAATCAATTAGCTACATATGATTTAATGACGAAAGTCCTACGTACTTCCTGATGTCAAGCAGCTTTGATGCCGTGCGCATAGAATATCTTTTATGTCTGTCACTCTCTAGACAACCTTTGACAAGCTCTAAGAAGATGGTGCGCAAATCTTCTGATATCCTTGGAGTCGCCTCTTCCGCCATACCAGCCTCGATCAGTTCACATGCTTTTTCCGTCAGATAGCTTGGCGATTGCGAGAGCAAAAAGGGTATCCGTCGGGGAGGATCCGAAAATTCGGCGGATAGCCATTCATCTTGGAAGTAATTGACCCTCGAGCTAATGATGCAACAAGCTGTTAGGCCGAAGCTCCACACGTCGCACTTGGGCCAATCTTCGCGTTCAAGTGTCTCAGATGCACTGTCACCGTACAGGTTTACGAGCACTTCTGGTGAGCTGAACAGCGGTGTTCCAACGTACGATTCGTACCCATTATTCTCTGAGCAGAAGCTTGAGGAACCAAAATCTGTCAGGCGCGCAGTGACGACTGATTCTCGGTCGTTTTCTATACTTGAGGAGTTTTTGACTAGGATGTTCTGCGGTTTCACATCGCCATGAACGATTCCCTCGCTGTGAAGAGCTTCAAGGCCTCGTGCGATATCTTGGCAAAGGCGATGTCGGAGCGTCCAACCGTCGGGTTGGTGGGAGATGAATCTTGATATGAAGTTGTCCAATGTTCCATAGAAAGCGTTCTCGAGGATGAGGGAGGGTACTCGGTCGAACGGAAACCAGATGTATGCCTGAACCTCCACGATGGGGGCGCTGTCTCGAAGGGGCTCGTAAGCCATTATCTGTATCTCGCGGAGTGTGGTCGTTGCAACGCCCTTTTGGTTCTGCTGTCCCCGATGCTTTGGCATCTTAATTGCTAGAGAACGGCCGTGGCGACCTATACTCTCGCAGTTATAGACGGAAAAAGATGTTCCTTCTCCAAGAAAATCACAAACTGCTAGTTCTTGAACGTAGGGGAGCCCCCCTTGGAACAGCCCAGTCAGCATCCCGACGCTGGTTTCCCATTCAGTGTCGTTGTCGCCGTCCGCTTCGATTACGTTGTTTTCACTGCTACGAAAAAAGCTCCAGAGCGCGGTCCTTGAATCCATACTGTGTGTGTGTGTTGGCTTTGCATGGCGATCTGTAGCTGTAGTTTGATGATGGGTTCAGCCTGGTGGCCGCACACTTTACCATTCCTTCCATTCCCAATGCGCTGTCATCAGATGCTAAGCCTAATCCTGATTCGGTGGCGGTTCACTCTGACAGGCTGTCACTCCGGTGAGGATTGGTTTCGTGCCCCACCTCGCAGCCAAGGTTTCAAAACACCACCGTCCCCAAACAGTGATGATTTCATTCTCCATTCATCCTAAGATAGCCTGCTATGGCACAATCACCCCATCCATCTGGATTCGCGGCTCGAACTACACCAACTACCTCGCATACCTACCCACAAAACTTCACGAACAACCCCGAAAAAGGTGAGCAGGGCTTAAGGCTTCGAAGCAGATGGAAGTTGATGATGAAAAGTGGAAGACAGACGAAATGGCTATCCCCGACTTGCGGCTTTCATCAACAGCGACCTTGACTTTGTTGTTTTCCGTCGTTTCGGACACTTGCACGTGCGCTACCTCCTATATCTACAGGATGAGATTGCGGAGATGGAGCAACAACTTCATACCCTCGATAGAATAGAACCCTGTTCATTTTATCTCAACACTCGACGCCGTGATCGAAATCAGGAACGCGGTAGGATACTGAAAACATTGGGTGAAAAACTCTTTGACTACGGTACGTTAGCTCGCCGATTTATGGCGCGTTCAAAAGCTCGTGCATTTTCGTGTTACCGTTGTTCGACATCTCGCAGAAAATTGATTGATCTCGAGTTTAGATAAGCTCTTGGAAATGTACTACAAGCATGTCGAGCGTGGTCCCTCACACCCAAAGAATGTCCAAAGCGTGGCGAACTGGATGCAAGGCAACAAGCCTCTAATACCCGAGGAATCGACATTTCTCAACTCATGGGATGATCTCGTATCTCCATCGGAGCGTGCTGACCACGGCGGCTTGAATGTGCTCCTCAAGCAGCTCTCACACAGGGTCCACGGATGGCCTTCTTTCAAGGTAAGCTAGAGCTATCTCGTTAACAAGATTGGAAAAGCACTTACCCCGTGAAAGACGCATACATCCGTATCTCGCGATCCTCACGTCATCACCGTTGACATGTCTCTCATAATGTCTATTGCACGAGCGCTGACTACCCTTCTGGCTGTCATGATCTTGACTATTCCGATATCAGTTTTGTACAATGTAAAGAGTATGACTTCTAGACTTTGTATCATCGGGGTCTCGACAGGTACTTTCTCGTCATGCCTCTGTGTCTTGACTCACTCTCGACACGCCGAGATATTTTCGGCGACGGCCGCGTAAGTCCGTACACACTTGTGGTGGGCTGTGTGTGTGCTGATAATGATTTCAGATACTGTGCAGTGCTAGTTGTTTTTGTTAGTAATATCGAATAGAATATTTAGCGACCAGATAGCGGCCGTGAACTGGATTTCTCATTGGGCCGATATATGAATATGTATCTGCTGTGTAATTTATGTTTGACCATCTGTGAACCCGGCGGTGAGTAGAGCTCGTCAGATTGTCGATGTGTTATTAGCTTATGCTGTGTCACCCCCTTCCAACTGCGTAAAATCTGTATAGAGTGTGTTCTTGCCGAGTCTGTTCTGTGACTCTACTCTGCTTGCTGAGACTGAAGCCGGTGATTAATACAGATGTAATGAATAGAAGTGCTGGATCAAATGTCAGCTATCATTCAACTGGCATCTTGTACGGCCGTAGCGAGCAGTCCTCTTAACCTTACTTCTAAGCGATACCGAGCTTGAATCGTTCAATAAGAAACCTCACCCTTCAGTACTGGATACCGGGTCCTGGGATCTATAGGTTAAGTGTATCGCGGTGGTGGTGCCCTGCCGTCTGCTCCGACAACCTGGATGGTTTCGGAGTACTCACTCCAATCGATAGCCCAAAGTGTGCAAACTGTTTATTTAAAGGTAGGGTAAATAGAAAGGTGTTACCGTACGTGCTCTTTCATCATAGTGAAGAGCCGCTGTATCCAGCTCCGCCGGGATATGTGGCCGGATGTGCGTTCAAATGGTCAGTTCGTCCCTCACGAGCTAACGGATTAGCGGATGGTGATGAGTACCCCAATATCTTGAGTTTCCATCCCTCGTACATTGGATTTCCTGCTCATTTCTGGTTTCAACCATCGAGCCATGGGTGCATGGGATGCTCTGTCGTAGCATCTCCTTTTTCAGTCTCTTCACTCCGCGCACCGCATCGTGTCTACCACGAGCCGAGGAATTGCCAGAAATGACCCGCAATTATGATGGGCCTACACCCGACTCGTTAATCTTTAAGAATCAACCTGGAAACTGAGCTGCTCATCAGGCCATATGTCGACCCAATCGAATGCCCGCCGTGATCAGAAGCCCAGCGCTGTCGCAAGAACACTTATCAAAGTATTGCACGAAGTTACCGCCACTGGAATAAAACGACGAAGCAGCACGATGATGGGTCGCGAGGTGCAAAAGCGATGACGTCATGTCTCAAAGTAAGTTGTCCAGATATGCGTTGCGGCGAGGACCCGCTACCTCGGCTTGAGGAATTTTCAAGTATCACCGAACTCGCTGGGACGGAAACTGTGGCGCAACGCATCCGCAGTTCTTCATGGCGATGAAATTCTCACTCTCGACTCTTTGGTGTTCGATGGCTGGACGGACATGGACATACTAAGTACTGAATCTGATCTGCCAATAAAGTCGGGCACTATGATGCTTCCATGACATAAGACAGTCACTTTAAGTTGCAGATGCTAAAAAGAGATGGAGAACTCGCCAGTATTTTCACAAGCCTCTTTATCGCATTGGCAAGATACACGTCAACAGATATCAGCGGATGGCGACCGAGTGGCCATCTCAATCTCAACATGATGCACACATCGCCACCAACGACCTTCAGCGCGATCGCAATTCCCCTGGCTTACGCCATGCGTCCAGACAAATTTTGGATTCGTAGAGTATCCATCGCCCTCCAACCGTACGTATGACGAGGAGATCGACGAGTCGGTACTCTTGCTCTTAGAATCAACAGTCCGCTTTCTCGGTCCACTACACCGAAACGGTTCTAAAAGGCCAAACTTAAAGGAACCAAGAGATTGGAAATCTGGCATGAGGTCTGTCGTAAACATGCACCACAAATGCAAGCGTGCCACTGACGGATGAAGGTGCAGTAAGCTGTGTTACTAGGTTACTTGAACAAGAGCACACGCCCGGAGCCTCACCGCTACCCTACACTTTTTTTTTTATCTCGAACAGCAAAGGTCGGCCGAGCAATTTCTCTCCAATACATGTGGATGCATCTCTTCGCCGCACACGATAGACAAGGTGTAATCGGCAGGTCGGCAGATCGACGTGTCAACCGCTGAATACATGTCATCCGATCTGGAATGACGATATACCAACGGCAACTAATTAAGAGCCGCTTCGGGATGCATCCTGATTAGGGGTTGCCACGTTGTCCCGGCAGATCGACCGTCGTCTCGAAACAGGGATTCGTTGCACGGCGTTGACGTCTTTCCAGCGTGACAGCGAGCCTCGTCCGAGATATCTGCAGCAGTCTTGTCGCCTTCAGGGCTCCCCTCCGAAGCCGCTTTCGGCCCGTTTGGGCCAAGGAAATAATAGGCGGTTTTATGGCCCGCACCTATTATGTACACCTACCGGTTTGAGGCTCAAAAAACGTGGTTCACGGTGTCAGTGTGGGTCCTCCGGTAGCTAGCTCAACGGCGTAGATCGGCGAAAAGAGCAGAAAACACCAGGGATAGCACTTCTGGACAAGATACCTCATAGGGCGGTTTCATGAATTGTGTATTACAAATGCTGCTAGTAGTAAGGAAAATTTCTAGAAGGCTGGGTGCTGCTGGACATGTATAAAATAGTAGGTGTATAACTTGGTATTGTCCTCCCCCCATTCACACAATCACTCTCCATTTCATATCTCATCAAAGCATCGTCACGACCTCATCTTTCGACATACTTGATCTAACAGCAGAAAGAATCATGTCTTCGTCATCCGACTTCCAGGGATGGGTTGCTCACGACCCGTCAGCCGCCGACGGCAACATGCAATGGGGCGACTACACGCCCAAGGCGTTTGAATCCACAGACATTGAGATGGAAATCAGCCACTGCGGTGTGTGCGGTTCTGACATCCACACTCTGCGATCAGGCTGGGGCCCTTCAGACTACCCGCTGGTCGTCGGTCACGAAATCATCGGCAAGGTGACGCGAGTAGGCGACGCAGTGCAGGACGTCAAGGTTGGTGACCGCGTGGGCGTTGGCGCCCAGTCCGACTGCTGTGAGAGCTGCCGGCCCTGCAAGATGAAGCAGGAGTCCAACTGCAACAGCTTCGTCATGACATACAACGCCAAGTACAAGACGGGCGACAAGGCGTACGGAGGCTACGCGAAGAAGTGGCGTGGCCCTGCCTCCTTCGCCATCCCTATCCCCGAGGGCCTGCCTTCAGAGTTCGCGGCTCCTCTCATGTGCGGTGGTGTCACCGTCTACAACCCGCTTGTGACCTACGGTGCTGGACCCGGCAAGCGCGTGGGTGTCGTCGGTATTGGAGGGCTGGGGCACTTTGCGCTGCTCTTCGCAAAGGCGCTTGGGTGCGACGAGGTGGTTGCCATTTCGCGATCGTCGTCCAAGAAAGCCGATGCACTTGAACTCGGAGCCGATCGCTTCATCGCAACCGGCGAGGATCCAGAGTGGATGACCAAGAACGCTGGCGGCCTCGACATTATTATTTCCACCGTCTCCGGCAGCTTCCCGCTGGACCAGTACCTCAACCTGCTCGACGTCAACGGCACCTTTGTGCAACTCGGCGCGCCCGACGACCCGCTGCCCAGCTTCTCGCCCATGGGCCTCATCTTCAAGAACCTCAAGATTGCGGGCTCCCTCATCGGCACCAGGCAGCACATTGCCGACATGCTGGAGCTGGCGAAGAAGACGGACCTCCAGGCTTGGGTCCAGGTCAGGCCCATGTCTGAGGCCAACGATGTCATTGTTGATTTCGAAAAGGGACTGCCCAGGTACCGTTATGTGCTGAAGAACTAGGATTTGAGGTGGAGTAATACGTACTTAGTTATAGTAGGAGACGATACCCTGTAAATATAGATTTAGAATGTATAGAGTTTATATTCTGAGTTGCTTTTGATGGCGCATGTTGTGACGATATTGACATGGTTACGAAGTACTTCAAGCTTCATGCTGCTGTGATGTATACTTGAGAACTACCTCTGCTCATCCAATGGGAAAGAGGGTTAGATAAAATTTATCCAAGTCATAATCATATATATATATATCATCTGAAGTAACCTTGACCAAGCAATTCTTACAAAAGACCCACAGTAACGCTATACTGGACCCGCACGACGCTATCAAGTAACAAGAACGCATATTATACGCACCTCAAAAAATCAATATCCCTCGGTAATGCCAGGCTTGATTGCCTCCAACTTGGCCACCAACTCGGTCCACACCCTCTGCTGATCCTTCTTGCCCTCCGCGCTCCTCACATAACTGCTAGGCTCCTCAATCTTACAGTCACTGAGGTACTTGCCGTGGGACTCTGCGCCCTGGAGTCCCGCATGCGCGAGGGTCCTGCTGCCGACTTCGGTGGTGCGGCCCAGGAGGAAGCGGAATATGGCATCGAAGAAGGGAGCTTCTCTTCCGAATTCACTAGAGGAAAAATTGGCACCTCTTTCTCTCTGTGCGCTTTGTTCATGTATGCGGGAGGGGGAGGAGAGAAATATCGAGGAAAGAAGAAACTTACGATTGGCACAGCCCCGGATTAATCAGGTTAACCGTAACCGGGACACGCTCGGCGGAATTCCTCTCGCAAAACGCGCGTACAAACAGCACTTCGAGCAGCTTACTCACCATGTACCTATCCTGCATACTGACCTTCTTCCCAGCAACCTCCTTCTGATTGAGGCGCTCGAAAAGGTGGCCTTCGGGGGCGAGGCGCTCCTTGAACTTTGTCCAGTGATGGACTTCTGAGCTGACAATGGTGAGCGTGGGCCTTGTGTTAAACTTTGTTGCTGTGTCGCGCATCTTGGGCAGCAGCGCAAAGGCGAGCAGGAAGGTAGACACGACGTTGACGGTGATGGTGGATTCGTCCTGCTCGTAGATTTCCCATGTTTTGCGCAGCACGCCCGCGTTGAGGATGGCAATGTCGAGGCGTGACAGCGACTCGCTGGCTTGGCGGGCAAAGTCCAGGACTGAGGCGTACGACGACATGTCGAGGTGCATGACTTTGACTACGTTGGTGCGGCCCGTGCTGGATTCAATGTCGAGGCGCGCAGCTTCGCCTTTTTCCAGCGAGCGCACGCAGAGGATCACGGTCGAGGCGTTGAGGCGCGTGTAGTGGCGTGCGGCTTCTTTGCCTAGGCCTACGTTGGAGCCCGTGACGAGGACGGTTTTGCCTGTGAGGTCTGTGGTGGGTTTGGGCGGCGTGACGAATAGCTGGGAGTAGAAGAAGGCGCCAACTGTTGCCATTGTGATTGATGTAGATGTTGATGTAGATGTTGATGTTGATGTTGATGTTGTGGTGGTGGTGGGATGGATTTGCACGGTGCACGATGGTTGTAGATGTTGGTGTTACTGTTACTTATCAACACCCAGCGCGGGCGTAAACAAGTAGAGTCTTAGGCTAAACACCGTCTAGTCGATGTAGACGCAGATTCGCATGTGTTCCATCGAGGCTTGGTTCAGGCCGCAAGGACGAAATTGTTGCCGTGGGCTCCTAATCTCCGTCATAACTGCGCTCTAGGCAACGACTTCAGTGCGCCCGGGCGGACTTAGCTCATGGTAAATCCACACTCAGGCCGCCAGATATCACGGCATCTACATACACACATGCTTAGCAGCGGGCACTCGTCTTCGAAGTGCTTCTTGGGGCACCGCCCAAGTTCGGACGTGTTAGTGTTACTTGGTGCAGAGAACATCTCCACCCTGAAATGCCCGACATCAATGCGCTATAATATTCACCGAGCCTATCGAGAGCGCATCCCACCCACGCACACCGTATATTCAAGATACCAGCAAATGCCAGCACCGCAAGCTCTCATGCATATTGGCTTCCCCTACAATCAAGATTAGTGTACAGATGCTGACCCTATTCTCCATTTTTTCGTACACCCCAACCCGGCAAAAATAATGTGTCAAATGCACAAACGTACGTAAATACGAAACATCAACCGCAACAAAGCCTCTTCTTTACCACGCCTCCACGTCGAATCCCTCTTCCGAGAACTCGGTCGCCACAACCGTTCTCCGCGAGAACTGACGCCCTGCGAGCGCCTTGATGGCCTTTTGCGCCGACTCTGTGTCCTGGTACTTGATGTAGATCTTGCCAACGCCCAGGTTCACCCGCGCTCCCGCAGGACGGGGAATTTTCGTCTCCACAATCGCTCCGTACTTGCCACATTCTTCTTCAATGTCCTCCTTGATTTCTGCTCCCTGTTAGTGCTGCGACAAGCGTTCCCCAATCGCCAATGCTTACCTTCATATTCCTCGTCATTCAGCAATTCGTCCGAAGTCACCATGTTCATCAGGCATACGACGCGGCTGTGCTCGCGGTTCTCGGCAGCGCTTGCTCCTGCCAACATGGAAATGGCACCCACTCCGCCGTCAAGACCAGTCGTCTGCTGCAGACCGACAGTCGCCCGTGACACCTTGAGGTTACCATCACCAAGCGGAATGTCGTTGAGCCCTTCAATCACCGCATCGATGATCTCGTTGTCGGCGTACTCGCAGAATGCAATGCCCTGCAGTGTGTTAGCAAGCCCAAGAGGCTAGTTCAACTAAGCTTACGCGGTGTTGGTCCGTGGCCGTATCTTTGACCAGGATGAAAGCCTTGAGTTTGCCCATGGTCTCGACCAGTTCTCGGATCTGCTCTTCCTCAATGTACGTGGGGATGTTGACAATGCTGAGCTTGTTGGGACTGTCCTTCACAACCGAAGACACCTCGTCACCGGGCGGGTATGCGTTCTCGTCAGCAGTAGGAGTAATGTAGTCCTTGGGCCGGCGGATGGAAAGGCCTGGTCGGTCTGGCGCCCCACCGTCGTCGCGCATCGAGATGCCGTTCATGGCCAGAGCAAGTGTTGCGTCTTCGGGTGCCTTGAACTCGAGCGCAGCATACTCCTTGCTAGTCGCAATGTGGGCGGATACGCAGGGGTCGTGTCCCGAGACTACGTTCAGGCCGTTGAGCTGCGTGTTGAAGAATTCCATAATCTCTTGGGAAGTGCAACCCGAAGGCAGGTTGTGGACGTAGAGACGCTTCGACTGCTTCGCGGCGGACGTGGCCAGGGCAGCCGCTGTGGCAGTTCCGGTCGATGGCGAAATGAAGGCGGCCAGCTTGGACGGGTCCATGGGCGCAGCGCGGGGAGCTCCCGGCAGAGGGAACATGCCGGACAGCTTGGCCTGCTCGGCCGTGATGTTCTCGTAGCCGGCGGGCTTGATGTCCCATTGTGTCATGCGGCGCTGGCGCTGCAGGATGCTGGTGAAGGTCGACAGGTCGGGCGTGGCTTCGCGCGGCTTGTTGAATGGCGGAGAGTCTTCCTTGGGCTGGCGCGCCCTATCACGCCCGCCACCAAAGCCGCCGTCGCGTCCGCCCCGGCCGCCTCTTCGCTCCTCGCCGAATCTGTCGCCGCCCCGGTCGTTGCGGTCTCGGTCGCGGCGGTGGCCACGGTCGTCGTCACGGTCGCGGTCACGGTCGCGGTCGCCTCGGGGGCGGTCGCGCCTAGAGTACGAGTCTCCCCAGCCACCACGGTCGCCACCACGCTCTGCGCCGCGCTCTCCTCCACGCTCTCCGCCACGCTCGCCCCGGTCGTCACGCCTCTCGCGACGGGCATATGTGTCTTCGCGCTCGCGCTCACGGTAGTCGCGGCTGGACGAGTACGTGTCTACCTCGTAGTCCCGGCGGGAGCCTCCGCCATGGCGAGGCGAGCGAGACCGGCGCCGGCGCCTGTCGCCACGGTCACCGCGATCGCGGTGGTCATCTCTCGACGACTGTCTGGTCAGCGGGTGTGTCGGCGGGTCGCGACGAGGGCGTGCACTCACATAGTTGCGGGATCCGCCTGATCGCCCACCGTCTGCGTCTGTTAGTACTGTTCCATTCTCGAAGCTGTGCACCAGTCAGTACGTGTACTGGTCGAGCCGGCTTACCTCGGGAGTAGCTGTCGCCGTTCATGCTGGGCGGCGGCGGCGGTGTTGTTGGGAGCTATTCGCGCAGTGATAACGTACAGCCGCGTAGGATTGTGCAGCTGCGGACGATGACACGGCGGCAGAGGCTGCAATTCGCAGGGCGGGAGCAGGCAGCAAAGGATGAATCAGGCCTTCGCAATGGTCCCAGACTTTGGAACGCGATGCTTGTGTGGTGGTTGCGGCTGCCGTCGCGGAAAACGTGCGAGAGAGAAAGTCGGGGCTGCCTTAGCGCTCCCTTGGCGCCCGTGGCCCCTGTCGCCGGAACGAGACCCAGACCCCCGACGACCTTACATTCACTCTGCCGTGTACATACAACATCAACCACAACCAACAGTCGCCGCCATGGCCTTGCGCGCCGCCGAGTGGCACAGGCTGCCGACGAGCCTCACCGAGCTGTGCATTGACACCACCCTGCGATGCGGCCAGTCTTTCCGGTACTTTATACATGCATTCGCCGCCCGCGGGCCACCCCCCGTCTAACATGCCTCCAGATGGCGCAAGTCGGCCGAAAACGAGTGGTCAATGGCCCTCCATGGTCGCATCCTCTCTCTCCGCCAGGACGCCCAGCATCTACACTATCGAGCCACATATCCATCCGTTGCCGCGGCATTGCCCACTCCGCCGCCGTCCAATGCGCCCTCAGTCGCCCCTGAAGATGACGACACGCTTGCGCTCGTCAAGCACTACTTGAATCTCGCCCCCAATCTTGGCCGCCTATACGAGCAATGGGCCGCCTCGGACGCCAACTTCAAGAAGCGCGCACCCAAATTCACCGGCATACGGATATTGCGACAAGATGCCTGGGAGGCGCTCATTGGCTTCATATGTAGTAGCAACAACAACATCAGCCGCATATCGGGCATGGTACAGAATCTCTGCCTCCACTATGGTCCCTTGATCGGGCACATTGATGATATTCCCTACTACGACTTTCCCACGCCAGCCGCCCTCTGTGGCCCCGATGTTGAGGCGCATTTGATGAAACTTGGTTTTGGATACAGGGCGAAATACATCGCCAAGACTGCGCGCATCATCTCAGAGGAAAAGGGATTAAAGTGGCTGGACGACCTGAGCAACCCAGAATATCCCCAGTTTGGTGTCCAGGAGAAGCCAGCTGGGCATATGCTCGCTGATGGGCGAAAGGGGTACCGGAAAGCGCACGATGAGCTACTGGCACTTCATGGCGTAGGTCCCAAGGTAGCAGACTGTGTATGTCTCTTTGGTCTTGGCTGGTCCGAGTCCGTCCCGGTCGATACACATGTCTGGCAGATTGCACAGCGCGACTACCGTTTCGGCAAAGGCAAACACAGCAGCTTAACCGCGGCAACATATGTTGCTATAGGAAACCTATTCCGCAAACTATGGGGCAAAGAAGCAGGCTGGGCTCATTCCGTACTATTTACTGCAGATCTAAGGGCATTTTCAGAGCGAGTAGTAGCCAAGGTCGAAGTTAAAGAAAAAGAGGTTGTAATCAAGAAGGAGGAAGACGAGACAGCCGTGGAATCAACTATCAAAAAAGAAGAGGACGAGAAAGTTGGTGAGACAATCATCAAAAAAGAGACGGCAAAAAGAAAGCGCGTAAAGAAAGAACCTCTAGACGACCAGCCAGCCGTAAAAGCCAAGCAGGAGCCTACGCGGAGAAGCAAGCGCCAACGCATATAATCAACCAATCTGAGATACCCAAATAAACACGTTTTCCAGCAATTCATCCGAACATGGCTACTTGTTTATAGTATCACGTCTTTGAGTACACCGATAGTACGCTTTTCATCCCGAACAAAGACAGATGCAGTTAACAATACAACTTCTCTCTTGCCGGACAACCATGATTCTAACCACAAGGACAAGTAGCTTCGACACACTTATATCGTCCATCCCTTCAACCCCAAAACACACATCAAGCCTACCATTGAACCTAAAACACCGCCACATGGAACCAGTCATCCCCCCCACAGACCCGTGTTTGCCACGCCTCTCGCATTAGATTAGCATGGAACCCGTCTACATACTGCACAAAGCCAGCCTCGAAAGCGTTCAAAGACTGAATTTACAATGGACCTTGGAATCACTCATCCCATCCCATATCCTCTAGCCCGATCATCCATCCATCTCCCTCCAGTTTCTTCGCCACAAGCACCACAGCATCGAAATTTCCCACCATCTATCCATCCAACTATCCCTCATACTATATTTCTCTCCCACGCAGACGAACCCACGGCCATCTTTCCCTCCCATCTAAATTTCTCACCACCATGCCCTTTCTGTGTCTTCCCAGCGTGTCCAATCTCATCCAATAACTAATCCCAATACTCTAACTCTACAAGTATTTTCTGTACGATATAGGCTGGAATGGATATCTTTATGAAGGAATCATATAAGCACTGTTATTCGTGGCGATGAAATAGATGGAAAGGGATGTGGAGACGTAGGTCGTGTTGCGCTGTATGGAATCTGGGGATAAAGTTGAGGCGGGGATATGAGTACCAAGACAGCCGAGCGTTAGAGAAGGCGTGTAGGTTTATGTGTCTACAAGGTTTCCCTAGTAAACCTAGGTGGTAAGGTGGTGTTGTTTTGGATTTGGCAAACGGGCGAGATGGAAGGATGAACAAAATGGGTGTTGTCGAGAACATAGTATGCATATACAGCTGTCTGCTAGTTTTCCAGAGCGTTGCAGGACGCGGTTGGGGTATGAGGGAATTTTAATGCGCTTTTGCGATGGGCTAGGGATAGGAGCAGATTTCGGTGGTGTAGTAGTATCCTCGCGGTTGGTTCTGACACAGCGGGAGAACGGATAGATATCTCTAGTGGATGGTAATATCCAACTTCTACCGGATGTTTTTACGCGCCTACATTTGCTGCTGACTTTCTACCGGTTGTTAGTCAAAGCCTGCTCTTTGTTTCTCTTGTGCGCTGCGACTTTTCATCACTGCTACGAAATATATGTAGTGCTGACGAAGAAGTCTGCTTGTGAGTTCCTTGACGTCATTGAGCTATTGAAATGTAAAGAAGGTCAGAAAATCTTGTGTTATGATTTGCCTTGGGTATATCCGAAGCTCCTGTGATTCATGGAGGAGGTGGATGTGTCACTGATTCTCCAACTGGTGGGTTGGAAATTCGTCGATGCGTACGCTGTTGACGATTTATATGACTTTATCTCTATACACAAATCGAAATTGGATATCACGTCTAAAACATACATCGACAAAGTTGAACGGGCTCATATCACCCGCCAAGTTCACAAATAGAGAGAACGAATTGACTTTTTATATAACATGGACTTGTTGCAGTACTGTTGATTTACTGCTCTCATAACGCATCATGAATTTCAGTGTTGGGATAGTTTATCTCGATAGGTGTGGTTTCATTATGTAGTCTTCAACAGCACGTCATTGACGAGATGTGATATGAAAGAAATCCTTTCCAGCTGTATTTTGAACGGAGTTGGCTGCAAAATGTTAGTGCATTGTACTGGTGATGTGAATTGACCAGGTATATTTCAAATCAATCTAAACTGAAAGGAAATAGCAGTGATAGTGTGCTTGTAGGAATCGCGAAATTCCTGCTGGGATAGGCAAGAAGCGCAGATACACGAACTGGAATTCCTCTGGGTGGAAATACTGGGACTTCAAGACTCAGATTGGAGTTGCCTGGGATATTTCGTCCACTATGTAGCACAATGGCGCTCTTCTAGCGGGAATTCTCATTTATTCAGATGCTTTGTGGGTTTCCCCAAGTGATTTGGCTTTTACTAGCCAAATCGTGTACCTAGTTCAAATAACTGACTTAGTAAGCTCCAGGAGCTTCTGTCATTTGTCACACTCGTCGAACTAGTCGACCGCTAGCGCAGAATATTGTTTGTAATACCTCATAGCCATGTTGACTTGTGAGCCATATTAATAGACACTGACTCCAAAACACCGCAATAGTTTTCAAAGAACTGACTGCAACTTGTGATGGATTCACCAAGTCCGAGATCGGTGCCACTGGATCTTCCAGCTTTGTAATCACCTCCTTGCCTCTTCGGACACCAATACTACACATCCGCTGCATGGTACAGTAATCGAAGAAAACACCAGACCCAACACGTATAAATTAATGCTTAGAAATAGAGCCATGCTGCGAGCGCCATGCCGGCTTTCGCTATCAAATTTTTTTCCCTATCTCCAACGAGTAAAAGAAAGGTGACTTGGCCCCCCCTTCCCACAGTGAAGGTGTACGTATGTAGCACACAGTCTCACCTAATGCTTGACTCGCACTGCTATCTCCAACCAGCATGTAAATCCTACCACGAAAGGAAAAAAACCATGGGAGTGGCTATCTGCAACCAGCATGCGAATCCTACAAAGTCCCTCGAAACCCTCATTTCCCAAGAACAGCTAGTTTCCTAAAGAATAGCTGCATGCCGTGAGAAGCAGGGCCTAAAGCGGCGATGCATAGATATGCATGCGAGGCAACCCCGACGATCACACCTTTTTTTTTTAGCGAGCCATGCCAACCATACTAAGTAACCCCAACAACTTTCCTACTTATGTCATACACGCATTCTTGCATGACAAAACATCCCCAGAACTAATACATACATATAAAGAAGGCGCCGCGGAGCAAACAATACACGAGGATTTCCGTAATGTTGATCTCACAGAACATTCAAATGAAAGAAGGAAGAAGAAAGACGAAAAAAAAACTTGCTGGTACCCTGCATATTACGCGTCGCCAACTTGGTCCTCCAGCGCAACCTCGAGTAATACCGGGCCCTATTTCCAGCATCGTGCAGCGTGGGGTAAAGTACGTATGCATACAAGTATGTGTGTGTGTGCCACACCTACATACACAACGTTCTTACTTACATGGACACCACCATTACCACCACCAATACCATTTTTCCAGCCGCCGCTAGCGCTGACACATGGATGCATGAGCGAAGCGGCAAGTACCGAATGCGACCGACGGGTTCCTTGCGAATCCCGGGGATCTTACTCGTCATACCCGCGTGTACCGGGGCGGTATCGCGAAGCCACCCCAAAGAAACAAGTCGGAAAGAAGACGAAGAAGAAGAAGAAGAAGAAGAAGAAGAAGAAGAAGTCCATAGAAGAGAACGAGTGACTGTAGAACCGAGGGTCCCGAGATGCCAAGCCGCAAATGTACCATCGTAAAGGCTGTTGCTTAGAACACCAGTATCCAGCTGAAGCAATTTGCATGGACGCAGAGCGCTGCAAGACTTTTCTTTTCTGCTCTGGCACTGGCAAACAGAGGCTTGGAGTGCCTGCGGGAGCGCTTCATCGGACGGGTAAGCGACGAAATGTTGGGGAGGGAGGGGAACTGCCGAGCACCGGTATGTTGGGTCTCGACAAAAAAGCCACCACCGAGCAACAATGTCTCGGCCTTTGTGGCGCTGGCGCGGGAAGCAACTGCCCCTGTGCTGAAAGCGTAATCCCCAGCTTTGTCCGAACGAATCACAAGTAAGGTGTCTGACCCATGGAGTCTCAGCATATGTACTGTTCGTTTATCACGGAAACAGGGTTTTCACTGGAGGATTACGCATGTAGTTCAGACGCGAGGTAGGTCAGATAGCGGAGGCTGTTTAAGCGCGGAAATACGGAGATGCGTGTGTGTATTAGGGGGGTTATGCAGCCAATGATATACTGTATCTAAGACAGTAACTAGCGAAGGGTATAGTGACAAAGCACCGCATTGGAAATCAAGATCGGGGTACTATGCAATAAGCAAAGCAGAATGGTCTGGACACCATGTCGTGTAACCTTTTTCCCCTTGGGTATTTGCACCAAGGATATGTTGTTGTCCAGGCCCCGGAAATAACCAAGTACGGTAATTGATATGTTATCAGGTTTCCGTCTGGGGAAAGGAGGAATATCCACACACGGAGCGATATGAAAGCAGTTGGTCAAGGGATATCGTTTGATGATTTCAATTGCCGTATATACAGAAAAAACACTATAAAGAACAGAGCGTCCGTAGCCGGAGAGGGTCTACTCAAGCCCAAGCACCTTCTTCATGACAAGGTGCAGCTTGTCACCATTTGCCTTTGGATCCTCGAGCGGAGCCTGCGCACGCCAGGCAACCGTTCGATCCGGACGAACCAAGACGGCGCCCTTCTCACTGACACCCCTGACCTCATGCCAGCGGAAGAAGGTGTCACCATAGTCTTGACCGAAGCCGATGCTTGCAACGGCAATCTCGACTCCCGTGGCCTTGCTGACCTCGTCAGCGGCAGCCGACCAAAGGGGCTTGCCGCCGATGCCAGTCAAGATGGTGAAGCGGTTGTGCCCAACGACATCCCGCGTAGATACCAAAGGCAGTCGAGGGCCTGATCCCTCCTGCGGTGGCGTCAGCCACGCATGCGGTACACGCCAGCCCGGGTAAGTGCTGGTGTACAGCTTGGTTGATCGATCGGAGACATTGGCTGGCCACTCTGGCTCCTGCGTCTCGTCGTCGGTGTACACGGCAGACGACTTGTACCATTGGTTCATCATGGCGCCGATGCAGTGGCGTTCATCGCCTAGGTTCCGGATGGCGGCACGGAACCGTTCGCGGGCGGCTTCGCCTTCAGCTGAGTCCTCCTTCAGCAGCTTATCCATGTCGGCGCGTCGATCAACGCCAGGCTCTCCGAGGAACCCGAATTGCGCATAGAATCCAAAGTTCAGTCTGCCGTTCTCGTTGGTACGGTCGACGACGTACTGGCCGGCGGGTTGGCGCTCTTGGTTGTAGGTGCTCAGCAGCGACTTGTTGGCCTTACCCTTGAGCACGTAGGCCATCTTCCACGCCAGGTTGTACGAGTCCTCCACGCAAGTGCTGATTCCAAGACCGCCGAATGGAGGGTGGCGGTGGACGGAGTTGCCGAGGGCATGGACGTTGCCTGATGGCGACGAGTAGTGCTTTGCGTAGACTTCATCGAAGCTCCAGGTACTGATCTCCTTGATCTTGTACTCGACGCTGTCGTCGCCGACAAGCTCCTTCATGCGGTCCAGAATCTGCTCTTCGGTTGCCTCGAGCTTCTTGTACGAAGGGTGAGGGAACAGCGAAATGACCCAGTCATTCCAGGGCCTGATGAAGTGAGCGATACCCAGAACACCGTAGTCAGGCTGTGGCTTGTCTGGCCGATCCAGATAGTGTAGAAGGCCGCGGTTGTGCTCAGTCAAGTGCTTGAGGTCAGCCTCGACCCAGATACTAATGACGAAGCCATTACCCGGGCCGTGAACCATGGGGAGATCGAGCTGACGTGCCACTGTGCTATCCGGGCCATCGGCACCAGCCAGCTGCTTTGACCTCACGGTGTAGGTCTCGCCTGTGGCTGTGTTCTCAAGGGTGCTGGTGACGGTTCCCTTCTCCGGGTCCTCGGTGAAGCTCACTAGACGCGTATTCCAGCGGATGGGAAAGCCGCGCTTATTGGCATCTTCCAGCAGCAGCGGCTCGAGATCCGACTGGCAGAGACAGAGCGTCTTGGATGGACTGGCATCAAAGTAGTCACCCTGTTTGAGTCAGATTCAATCCGTATCAACTGCACTACGTAAACTGGTTGCCTTACATGACGGTGGGGGTCATTGCCGAAGACGTGGGCGCGATAGATTTCCTCGCCAACCAATGTCTTACAGAAACGTGTATACGTCGAGTATTCTGACACGGGCCACGCTACCTCTCGCGCCTTTTCCTCGATTCCAATTTCTCGAAGGCACTCTGCATGGAGACTAGTCAGCTTCTCGTGTCTTGGAGCGGGATGCACGTGGGATCGTCCGTACCAAGACCAGCCATGTTGAGGTAGTTTGCACGCGGACGAGGCGACGGGCCAGGCTCGGCATCGATCATCAACCCTGTAATGCCTGGTGTGCGTAATCAGGGTCAGCCATTGCACGCCTAATGACCAAGACTTTGGCTTAACGGCGTACCGTGCGATCCGAGGAAGCAGCCGAGGGAAGCTCCCGTAGGTCCCGCGCCTGCAATGAGCACATCGACCTCAATGGGCTGGGTATCTACGCTGCCAATGTCGCCCATTGTGGATGTTTTACTTGGTGATTCCGTAACGCTGCAATGTATGCTGTAATCAGAGTGTCGTCAAAGAAACAAAGGCCTGACTAATGTGATGATTAATGGTTACACAACGCCCTTCTTATGCATCCTCCATCACGTATAATCATGTCTTTTACAATTCACTGAACCGTCCGACAATTCTGCCTCGGTGTAGACTTTTGGTCCGATTCCAAGAGGTACAAATGCCCCGTACCATGCAATGGCAGCACCATCTATGCTCTGCGTATGGCCCGACCATATATTGGACCGGAGGAAACTGAGTAGCTTTCCATCTCGAACTGCACCAGGTGGCCTAGATAATCGGATCAAAGGCGAGTCTACGCATGCAGACGCTATCTCGGTAGAATGGAGGGTTTGAGCATTTAGGACGGAGCTCCGTTTTCTTAGCGTAGCGCTAGCGAAAGGAATCCTTGCTTAAGTTTACTACTTGACGTGTTATTCCACCTCTTTAGGCAATACAGGGCAGCGAGTTCCGTATAGGCAACGGCTAGATTCTAGAAACCACTTTCTTTCAACGTAAGCATAGTAGGGCTTACAGTTTGTAGATGAGCACTGTCTATTATGTAACGATCACGTGACAAAATAGGACCTCCGTCTATCATTATCTCAATCCAGCCGCCACGCTAGCAGCTATCCCCTAGTGATGCGCTAGCCCGAAACAGGCTCAACAACGTAGCCGCAACACGCGCAAACGAACAGGCCCCAGGGTATGAGAATCGGGAACCGAGTAATGGAACAAAAACATGGCAGTGCACCCCTGTGATGCTGATGTGTGGGTGGGGGTAGGATGGGATTCGAGCTTCGCATTCGCACCCTGATTGTCGTCGATCTCCGCCAATCACGTGCGGGGCTTCTGGCAACGGCGACAAAGGCAAAGCGTGGCAAATGGCTGTTAGTAACATCCATCTCACGGAGGCTAGGGCTTATGCGAGCTGCAAGTGATGCCCCCGTGGCAGAGTGGGGGGGGCGACATGGTGCTGGGTTCGCTGTAGGCCCAAGCCAACGCAACTATAGACACGGTGCACGTGTTATTGTGGGGGGTGGGTGGGCGCGCCATGCCCAAGGACCCCCCCGATCGTCCCGTATACGAACGAACGAAACCAAGACGCAAGCTGCCTGATGTTCCAGGAGCTAAAATTCCCCCTTATGTACGGAGGTGACTGTCAAAAGTTCTTGCTCAGGCGCGGATCTATCGGACCAAATTCTCTTAATACACTTTCTATTATCATTTTAGCGTGTAGATAATATATCTTGATAGAGTTAGCATATTACTATAAGTGTATTCTCTAACAGCTAATACATTTTCTAAACTATTCTATTAAGTAAGGGCTTCTATTTACAAACTTAGTACTTATGATTTATAGTCTTAGGCGGTATTTTCGGCGGTAATTAAGGAACCCCTGTTAGCAAGAACTTTTGAAAGCCACCTCCGTACTCATGTCGACTCAAGACCCCTACCACGTGAACTTGTCACTGAGCTGCTGCTGCTATCATTTTAGCAGCAGGTTATGTATTCATAGACGGCGTGTACAGGCTTGCGGGGGCTATTTCACAACGTAATCAAAAATTCATAATTCTGTTCTCGCGCCACTGCAGTTTTTCAATATGGATCTCACTCAGCTTGACGCCCTCTGCTCAGACCTCGCCTTCACTGCCAAAAGACTCAGGGCATTGTGCAGTAGCACACATATCACAGCGACAGCCAACGGCAGCGAGCCTACAAACAACCTCTTGGTTCCTTCAGATGATGCACAAAACCTGGAACATGAAATCACAGCGGCTCAAAATAGTCTTTGTGGCATTTCCTCGCGGCTGGAAACGCTGCTGGTCGGCCCCAGTAGTTTTATACGTTCAATGGCGATGCAGGCAAGTCGGATCTTCCCAGGGGAAAACCCGCCCCCCGTTTGTTTAGTCTGGGTACCAACTTGCTAACTTTGAGCTTGAACTAGAATCAGCTTCTGGCCTGTCTGAAGTGGATGGGCGAGTACCAAATCATCGCCTACATACCTTTGGACGACACCATCTCGCTCGAAGAGCTTGCCAATCTAGCGGATGTTCCCGAGCATACACTGAGCCGAGTGGTGAGGATGACTGCAACCGCAGGCTTCTTACATGAGCCCCAGCTGGGCCATGTTGCGCACACGTCGTTGTCGCTATCTTTTACGACCGAACTGTCACACTTTGACGCTGCCATGTTCCTAGCCAACAAAGTCGCTCCCGCGTCCCTGGATCCCGCCTTCTTCTCCCACGATCAATACGGCACGGGCCTGTCTCCGCAAACACGGCCAACATTCGAAATGCTCTCTCAGGAACCGCAATTCAGCCGCCAATGGCAGGCATACCGTCACAATATGGGCAGCGCAAGAAGCCAGCTGGCATACCTGTCCAGTCTGCTCAATTGGCATAGCCTCGGAGATGCATCAGTTGTAGAGGTAAGTATTCCGAGATGCCGACTGACTCAGCCCGGTGCAGCGCGTATCTGTATGTGTAACTAACAAGATGCATGGTCATATCAGATTTGTGATAATGCCACTACCTTAGCGCACCAGATTGCACAAACGTCGCCGCAGCTTCGAGTTACGGTGCAGACTTATGACTTTACGCCCACGGATACAGGCCTATCTGGCCTAGGCAACGGCGAGAAGGATTCCCTTATCAGTCAGCGCATCACCGTCCAAAGGCGGAAACCCACAGCAACACAGCCGATAAAGGATGCGGCAGTCTATCTCTTACACCCGTCGTTCGGCGCAGCGAGTACGCGAGGCTACACCCCCAGGGAGCTGCTTACTATGGAGCTCGAATCGCACTTTGGCATATTAAGGACTAAGCCGACGGCATTGCTGATACTCGCGCCGGCCATGCTGCCTGAACCGAGATCGGTGCCAGGCAATGTCGAAGTGCAGGCACGGCTGCTTGATTTGGCAGATACGCATTTCACCGGAAAGGGGGCGGTTGAGGTCGCAGAGCTGTGTAAATTAGCAGAGAGCGTCTACGATGCGCATGGAGGACTAGTGGTCAAGAATCGCCTACGGTCGCCCGACGGGTCCACCATTGCCCTAGCCGTCAAATATCAAGCCTTTGTATGATGGCGCTGGGCTTGTTTGAGAGAATGTACCGAGTCAAGTGTATAGAGTTTGTTGATTGATTGCCCGGAGAGGGTAATGACAAATCTGCACAAAGTCATGTTGCGCCAATCAAACGTGTTGCCTGCATGCATGTGCCACGACATTTGCTGGTATCAGAGCAATGGAGGTGGGGCACCGACAACATGCCCATGTCTGCAGTTGTGGTAGAGCAATTCCCCATGCGCAGTCGGCGGGCTCGTCGATTCCGTCGTTGCAAAGGACCGTAGTGGTAGCTGCATCTCCAAATCCCGGCAGGGGTCTGACAGGCCGACCGGGCTGATGCCTGTACATTGGCTAGTGTCGCCAAGCTAGCGTGGCTCCGCTATCCAGGAAACACGCGCCGCCATCCAAGACATGCCGTCAAGTGAGTCGGACCGGCGGCAATCGACGACGTTGAATGATGCGAAATGCGTCTGAATGATGCGACAACCTGCGCCTGTCAGATGCGGTGCAGCCAGCAGGGATGATCGCAAGGCTTGGTACGGGGTTTCCTGCCCCGCGTCTTTCCGAGGTTGGCCCGCCGTCCATGTCGAAATCCGGTAGTCCGGCGTTTTCCCGCGGGGCAAAAAGCTTGGTCCATACCGGCGGTCCATTTCCAGCCAGCCAATACACCCCGATCTGTGAAGCTGAGTCCTGCAATGTTACGGTCCGATTTGTTCACCTACCTCTTTGCACGCCTGAGCATCTGCATCCTCATGTCCTGGGCCATGATTTGCGTCAGAGGCGTTCGCGCCTTGTGCCGCGAAACGCGAGACACTTCTAACGCGATTCAAGCACATGTGCACCACGGGTGGTATTCCGGTTGAATATGCTGGCATGCCGTACCACGCAGCGCTGGCTGTGCCAGTACAGCAGAATTTGGGTCCGGACGAAAAGTCCAGGAGCTGAACAGCAAGGCCAAGAATGGGTGAGATATAAGCCACTGTTGGTCAGCTTATGGCCAACTTCTCCGTGTGCCGCTTCTTCACCAGCTGTTATCTTTTACCACTCGCAAATGGCTCTCCAGGAACAAACTAGCAAAGGCCTCCCGCCAAGCAAGTACCTGTGTCTGACGATTCTCGGCTACCGCAAGCCCGGCATGAGCGAGGAGGACTATCGCCGACATATGACGGAAGTGTCCGCCCCGCTGACGAAGGACCTCATGGCCAAGCATGGAATCAAGCGCTGGACAGTCATGCACACGCCGCAAGCGACTAGGGAGCTCATGAGCCAACTGTACGATCACCAGATGGCAAATGTGGCCGACTATGACTGCTTCAGCCAGGTCGTGTTCGAGAGCCTGGAGCACTACAAGAATCTGAAAGAGGATCCCTGGTATAAGAGCCGCTTGTTCGGAGACCACGAGAAGTTTGCGGATACGAATCGAAGCAAGTAAGTGTATCGGAAGCTGCCCCCCCTGTATCCAGTACATGCGAGTCATGGCTCATAGTTTGCAGGATGACGATTGGGTGGATCGAAGAATGGGTTCACAATGGCCAGACCCGGGAAAATATGGATGCACCATGGCTGTCATTCCAGAACTGAAGGCCGTATTCCGTCGAATGGGCGAGCAAGACGACTGGTGATTTGCAACAGTATGAATCATAACTCGACTCGAATGGTTAGATCATCCAGAGATGCCAATCGGTGACCTTGTTGTTGTTTAACGTGTGTAATGCCCTTGGCTTGGCCGGTTTGGGTAGCCGAGCGGGATGGATGATTTGTCTGTGTCGTATGGGGATCCAAGCTGGAAAAACGGCAGCCTTCCTGAAGCCAATGTACAGGCGTATTGTAGACGGGTACGGCGAAGCACTTTCCCAAAGCAAAAAGCCAGAGGCGGATAATGGGTGGCGGAAGGAAGGCCCGCCCGGACGGAAGAGCCAAAGACCATAGTCGTGGTTAGGGATGTTCCAATACGGTAACCGAGCCTAAAATCGTTGTAATTACCGTAACAACCGTATCATACCAATTGCCATACAAAATTAGGTGTTGTAATTACGGCGTAACAAGCTAACGCATTTAGTACTACTGCTAATTTTGAGTAGTGTTTTACAGCAGCCGGCTCGCCACCACCAGGCTCGCCATGACTACACCGTAGGCTCGTCACCACCAAGCCCATTCTTATATATCTCGCTATTAGAATTATGTTGCTAGGTGTTAAGGTAGGTAGAGTATAGCTGTGTTAGCTAACTAGCCGCGTCGCCAAACCACCAAAAACTAGGCAAAAAAAAACAAGTCTGTCAACTTCGAGTTTTCTGGAAACCGCTAGGAAAGCACGCTATCTAGGAGAACCGACCACGAGGAATCGACTAACAGCACTTTTAACACCTGCAGCTAAGGCGCTAGCGCGCAGTAGGGAGAAGAAGGAGGCCTTCCTTCGTTTTCTCACGCCTGTGAGAATTTTCTCACAGAGCTTGGGCTCTAATGCCAAGACTAGAGGGGCCAATAGGAACGCAGGAGCTTATTGAAGCTCAAATTCAGCAAGAAACACAGACATATCAAAACAATAAAAATAACAAAAAAAGACTAGCCTCAAAGGACC